CTGTACTTATAATATAAATAAATCTTTTTAAAGCAAAATGTATTTGTTCAAGATTGTAAGATCATTCTGTTACAAAAATAGGCAGTGTACCCTGCCTCGCCCACAAACCAAGCTAGAATGATCACACTGTGAAAAGCTGAGTGCAGTCAAAGTATGTATCTTGGACTAAAAAAAAATCTAGCCAAATAAAACAAAGAGGCTTCCATTGTGCAAAAAGCTAGTTGGAAATTCCTTTCAGTGAAAACCTGAAGGGTAGCAGAAGATATAAAAATTTCACAAAGTTCTGAAAATAATACAGGTAGTCCTTGAGTTACGAATGTAATGGATCTCGTCTATTCCATTTGTAACATGAAGGTTCATAGGAGTGAATCACGTAACTTGACTGCGATCACTCTCTGCTTTTACCCACACATTCGCTAATTGAATGTGCAGCTTGTTAAATGCACATGAGGTATCTTGGGATGGGGAAGGCCATGGGAAGGGGCTAGTGATGGAACAGGCCACCTACTTCAGAACACCCAAGGACTCCCCCAACCCACAGATATCTCATTCTTCTCCCCACAATTGCTTCTATCCCACCCTACCGTGCCAGGTGACTTACCTTATGAAGATCTGTCTCCTATCCAACCTATTTCTTTGCCTGCTTCTTCCTTTCTCATCAGCGAAGGGCCTGATGAGGTCTCAGGTGATGAAAAAGGGGGCTGGAGGCTGGGGCCTCCTTTCTCGATTGAGATCCACTTGGTCAGACCTCTGGTGACAAAAAAGGAAGCCTGGAGGGCTGTGCATGGCCTTCTGGGCCTAACTTTCTCACTGGCAATCTGTTTAATGAGGCCTCTGGAGACAAAAAAGGAGTGCTGAGTGCAGTTTTCCAGGCCTCCTTTCTCACCGGCAATCTGCTTGATGAGGCCTTCGGCAATGAAAAAAGGCTTCCTGTCATTGCTCCTTTCTCAATGGCAAATTGCATCCCTTTAGGCTTCGACAGCCCTTTTCAAAAAGCCTTTGATGGTAGGAACAGAGCTTCTGAGGGATGTGCCTGCTCCTCCCAAGCTCTGATGGTGCCAGCAAAAGCTTTTTGAGAAGGGCAATCTTCCTGCCGACTTTGGCAAGGAAATGGCAAATGGAGGGAACACTTGGAGGACCAAAACCTTCCCTCCATTCACAGAGAATAGAGTCTGAGATCACATGAGATCAGTAGCACAAGATCTTGTGCTACTGATCTCACAGTATGTTAGACCTCTGTTCTCCAACAGCATGTTAGAATTTCTGTTCTTGATGGTAATGTGTCAAAATCCCAAAGCAACGAAGGAAGGAAAGAAAGTGTGACAGAGAGATCTTCACAAAGTAAGGGAGTATCCACAGGCAAAGTGCCTGTGAAGATCTGAAAGGAGAGTGGGAATAGGTGGGGCAAATGTTGCAGAGCCTCTACAGTCATTCATAAGAGTGAACTACTGCTGTGCTACTGCAAAATTCATAATTTTGGGACTCGTTCGTAAACGCTACGGGGCGCTTATCCTGCAACTTCAAACATTCGCTAAGGGAACGCTCGTAATCCAGGGATTACCTGTAAAAGAGGACTGCTCAACAGTAGACCTACCCTCCAGGGATGGTACTGGGAAAGTTAAAATTGGGAAAGAACCGAAATTAGTAAAAGATGCTAAGAACAAAGGAACAATATACTACCTGCTCATAAAGAAAGTCAAAATGCTAACTAGTAGCAAAGAAAAGTCAAAATTTCTTAATTTATAGGTTGGCTCAAACATCTCCCAATAAGACACTATTTTTTCCCTGAACCAATTGTACAAATCTGGATTAAGGGGTAGGGCTAAAACTTTAAGGTGATGTTCAAGGAATATCTATCATCTTTGTTTTTTAAACTTTATTTCTATCTCAAAGTGGCAAACTTTTTCCTATTTAGAGCGACTGGCCCAAAGTTACCTGGCTGGCCCAAAGTTCTTAAGTTGGGACTTGAGCTCAAGGTCTTTAAATGAATTTAAAACTCTAAGGCCCATTGCTCATAAACCACTGAAGGATGGGGAGGAAATTACATGTATTAATCCTAAGAAACTAAAGAACTGGTGAAAAGACAAATATTTGGAAGAAGGCAAGTGTTTCTATCTTCAAAAAAACTAAAAAAAAAACCTTGGGTACTAAAAATAGTCTCAGCAAGAAGATTCTAAAGAAAATGGCCAATTTATGAACACTCTGAAAGCTCTATCATAGATAATATGGAAAAATCAATCATATCAGGCAAATTATCTCATTTTTGATTAGGCAACTTCCTTAGTAGATTGCATGGATACTGTAAATACAACATAGTTAGCTTTCCTGACAACACCAGATCGGCTGTGATTGTGTAAACAGATCAAGCCTTATATGTGTCACTGTTTACTTACAGTGCATTCAGGAAGTATTCAGACCCCTTCACTTTTATCAATTTTGTTATACCGCAAAAAAGATTCTATAGTTGTTGAAATTTATTTTTTCTCATTAATCCATATTCTGTACCCCATAACGACAAACTGAAAACAGAATTTTAGAAATGTCTGTAAATTTATTAAAAAGAAAAAAACTGAAATAGCACATTGGCATGAGTATTCAGACTCTTTGCAACAACCTTGAAATTACTGTCATGTTGGAAAGTGAACCTTTGGCCCAGTCTGAGGTCCCAAGCACTGTGGAACAGCTTTTCATTGAGGCTCTCCCTGTACTTTGCTCCTTCAGTTTTCCTTCAACTGACCAGTCTCCCAGCCCACATGGCCGAAAAACACCTCCACAGCATGATGCTGCTGCCTCCATGCTTCACTGTTGGGATGATATTGGGCAGGTGATGAACGGTACCTGGTTTCCTCCAGACATAACATTTAGAATTGAGCCCAAAACATTTCATCAGACAAGAGTCTTTTGTTCCTTATAATCTGAGAGTCTTTCAGGTGCTTTTTTGCAAACTCCAAGTGGGCTTTCATGTGTTTTGCACTGAAGAGAGGTTTCTGTCCAGCCACTCAGCCATTATCTGATCTGCTACCCTCAGATCTGTGGAGGGTAGCAGTGATGGTTGTCCTTCTGGAACTCTGTCCCATCTCCACACAGTATCTCTGGAATTCTGTCAGAGTGACCATTGGTCTTGGTCACTTGGTCACTTCTCTTACTATGGCCTATCCCTCGATTACCCAGTTTGACCAGAAGACCAGCTCTTAGCAGAGTTCTGGTTGTGCCAAACTTTTTCCATTTGAGAATTATGGAGGCCACCATACTCTTAGGAACCTTCACAACACGGCAGAAATTTTATTGTAGCCTTCCCTAGACCTGTGCCTTGCCCTATTCCTGTGTCTGAGCTCTGCAGACAGTTTCTTTGACTTCATGGCTTTTGTTCTACTCCAGTATGAATTGTCAGCTGTGAGGCCTTCTATAAAGGGGTTGTATGTCTTTCCAAATCATGTGCAATAAATTTAATTTACCACAGGTGGACTCCAATTAAAGTGCAGAAACATGTCAGCAACTATCAAGAGAAATGAAAAGCACCTGAGCTACATTTCAAGTATTGTTGCAAAGGGTCTGAATATTTATGCCGATGTAATATTTCAGTTTTTTCTTTTTAATAAGTTTACAGATATTTCTAAAATTAAATACTTTCTGAATGCACGGTGTGTTCTTCTGTATTTGATTATTTAAATTTACTATTCTTATAATTCAATTTTTCTTAATCTAATCTTTGATCAAAATAAATGGATTTAACTGGATTTCAGAAAGCAATTGCTACAGGCATTCTGATTAGCAAGCAAATTAAATGTGGGCCAAATAGAACAAGTGGATATATAGCCTACTCAAAATAGTATTCACATTATGCATTAAGTTTCTAATGAAACTAGAGAGATTAAGCAGAGAGCCATGACGTTTAGTCCTCAGACCAAGATTCTGGCTGATTGTAATACAGGTAGTCCCTGATTTACAACCATTTGTTTAGAGACTAAAGTTACAGCAGCACTGAAAAAGTGACTTATGACCAGTTTTCACACTTATGATTGTTGCAGCATCTCTATGGTCACATGATCAAAATGCAGGCACCTAGAAACTGGTATGTAATTATGACAATTATGCTGTCCTGGGTCATGTGATCACTACTGGTAATCTTTTCAGTCAGTTTCCATGAAGCAAGTCAAAGCAGGAAGTCAGATGTGCTTAACTACAGTGCTTTGATTAATAACTAGCAAAAATGAGGCACAACCCACTTAACAGCCTTGTTTAGCAACATAAATTTTGAACTCAATTGATGTAGGTCCTGGACTACTTTATAAGAAAATCACAAAGAAATCTATTCAGAAATGAGCAATGAGGATGATCAGGAGATTAAAAGCTAGCCTCACATAATTTGTCTTATGAAAACAGCTTGAAAAAAATAACCTAGAGAAGACATGTGCATACTTTATAACTACCAGTATGTCCAATTTGTCTTTTTTTAAAAAGCAGGATAGAAAAAAAACTGTAAATGTTAGTCATTTGTAGTTCATTATACTGCGAGCACTATGTATCATTGGCTTCCAACCATTTAGACAGTTGATGGACTAGGCAGAAAAACTTTTTTCAGATGGTGCATAATCCCTTTTGCTTAAATCAAATGAGGTGCTGTGCCCCTTTTTTGTCCAATTCTTTCTCCCTTAGGGGCAGCATCTGCATAGTTTCCTACAAATCATCCTGTGCCTGAATTTAAAACTTTAGCAAGCGAGTTATTTTCCAGGACAGTACTGTCCTCCCAACCCAGGATCCCTTCAAGGAAAAGCAGCAGAGCCCAGACTCATACTCCCCCAGGCCTTTGTAAAGCTTAGGACCTCCCAACAACCAGCAGCACCTAAATTAGGCACCCAGAACAGTTTCCTTTTCTTCCTAGTTTTCAAAGTCATCACCTCGCTCTTCACCAGCTTCCAGCTTCACGTTCAGGATTTGGCGAGATGGCGCAACTTAAGCGGGTTAACAAAGAAAGACAAGGTAGGACCGGTAATACTCACCGCTTAGATAGTTGGTCCATTTGTATAGTACCCCCTCCATAATGACAAGGTCCCCCCATCCAGATCTGCTTGGGACAGGGGAAACCTTGCCCCTGGCCTTCCCCCGGGAAACTTTTATGCTCTCAGCCCCACAGCTGAAGCACGGACAGCCAAGGCCATCCTGAGGCTGGCAGAAGTCCGGCCCGCCCTCCTGCCTCCTTCCCCGCCCTATTTCCCCCCTCCCCACCCTACCAGCCAACTTGTTAGCCTTACGCTACTAGAGTAGAAATGCAGGTTTAATTACAGCTACGGGCTTTATCCACTCCGCAGATTTACGTAAATACGTTCCTGAATGCAAAGTTTACATGTGATTAGAAAAAGGGCGTGGCTAGAACACCAAGAGACCAGATGAGTTCTTGGGAACCAATGAGAACCCGGATCCATGCGTGGCGTCAGCTTATGATGGCATTCCGAAGCCGGCGGTATTGTGTTGAGAGATTCCAAAATGTATGCGCGGCGTTCTCTCGCTAGAATTTTTGGGAGACCAATCGCCACTCAGCGATGTGAGAGGTTTCTTCACGGTTCCCCCCCCCACCCTTGTAGATGAACGGGTCAGCTTCCCAATGAAGTGGCTGGAGAAAAATCCAGCCCTCGCGTTCAGCCAACCAGAAAAAAGAAAGAGGAGAAGTGGCTATTAAATAGATACAAATGCTTGGAGGAGATTTGCCTGCTTTTTCTGCGGGTTTTAAGACCATGTTTGCCACGTCTGCGGATCTGGTGAATGAGAGTGAAAAGCGGTGAGATACAAAAGGAGGAAGCTCGGGCTCCGGGGTTAGCCTTTTCTATCTCTACCATTATTGCAACGGCCGATGTTTTAAAGTCCCATGAAGTGGAATTTCCTGAAGATACAATTTAAGTACACTAGCAAGTAAAGAAAGTATATTTTAGAGGTTTTTTTTTTAAATAAAGCGACTTTAGATCATTCCTTAGTAGTGTGAGGTTCTATTTGAGCAGTGTTGGATTTTTTTTAATGGCCAGGTGCATGTAAGGTCATGTCAGTTGCTTTTTCAGCCACTGAAAAACGCATCTTCAAGTAACCAGAATGGAAGGTACCTTTTGGATTCTTTTTGGGACAGTGGCTTTGGTGACTGGTGCTCTCATTCCAGAACCAGAAGTCAAAATCGAAGTTCTCCATAAACCTTTCATCTGCAAAAGGAAGACCAAGTTTGGAGACCTTATGTTGGTGCACTATGATGCATATCTAGAGAAAGATGGGTCACTTTTTCATTCCACGTAAGTATTTGTTCTCCAAATTCAGACACACTAACTGAACAAATCACATTGCGATGTATGAATGGGAACAGTATTTACCACAGTAGAAAATACTTCGGCTTTTCTCATTATATTTTGAAATATGGCCCTTAACTTACCACCAAGTCAACTGTAGTGCTGGACCAGAAAAAGTGGCACATCTTATGATGCAAAAATCAAAATATATGATGTAATCTTGATTGGAAATATTTGGTGGCCTTATTATAAGGGTATTGGGCTTTTAGGATATTGTGGATTTATTCTCAGTTGGGTCATAACTATTATTATTACGTACACTTTTTCTTCTGAATGGTGAGATTTTCCTTTGGATAAGAGCACTTTTAACTTTTATTTGTAAATACAGAAGTACAGCAAAGCACAGCAAACCATTCTTACAGCAAAATTCTGGTTAACTTCAGTAAGAACCCTCTTTCTTTTTGTACCATCATATTTTTATAAATATAAATGAGTATAATACAAACATTCTTAGTTTATGGATCATGACCTCTGGAAGTGTATAAGAAACAGAGTCATTTGTTTTAAAATTTACTTCAGGAATGATCTCATCTTGAATAATATTTGACTTACAAATCAGGTTTCTATCTGCTGCTTTTCCTTGGAAGAGGCACTAGAATTCCATGGACTACCAGGTATATTGTATTCTTTAGAAGTTTAAATTATCTACTACTAAATTCTTCTGTCTGTAACTTTTAACTGGGTGAAGCAGCAATTGGGTGCATCATAGGGCAACAATTTTTAATCAAGTATCTCAAAGTACCTTGGATGCATTATAAAAGTTATCCAAAAACTGAGATCAGTGACTCCTGTGGAATAAAAATTTGGGAGATTTGTGATTACTTCCACACTTCTGTGCTGTCATCCAGAGTTTCTGTAAACCAGTCCTATGCTAGCCCTCTATGGGTAGACCAGGCCCTCCTTTGATTTCTGGAAATCAAGTAGACTAACCCCATCCTAGTCCTCTGGAGGCTAGGTAGATTGGTTATATCATCAGTTGCTGAAAGACAGTTAGCTGCAGGAAGTTGGATGTGGCTCCCATTCCCACCGCTTTTTTTGCCCTTGGTCATTCTGTTTTGCTGTTAATGTAAATATTTTGTGAAACAATGACCCAATGGTTCATGGGTTGTCTAATTACATTATAAAACTTTATTCTGAAATGACTTTTTGCATGTGAATTAGATGTTTAAACATTAAATGTTAAACATCTTTACAATCTATCAATTGTAAATCAATTACATTTTTAATTTTCTATTATTAGAACATGATATATTTTGAAGATTTGGTGTTTACTACAAATGAAATTGACAAAAAGCATATTTGCATTTTGACATGTGTTAATTATGTGGCAAGCTGTTGCATCTATTTGCAATTTATTGACATTGACTCCAGTAATTGGGTTCAACTTCTGTCAAATATATTGCTTGTCTCTGCCATCTCTGCTAGTAGCATGCTTATAGTTTTTCGAATGTCTATATATTTTAGTGACATTCAGTTTTTTAATGCATTAATGTAAGAGATAGGTAACAGAAACACTAACTGGTAAGTATTACGTGTTACTAAGTGAAATAATGTATGAAATTTGTTCTGACACTCTGAATTCCCAGCAGTATATTTCCTTGGATATTACTGGACAAAAAGAATTCACAGAATGAATAAGAAGGCTGTAAGGATGCTATTGAGTTAGGTCTTTTTTTTTTTAAATGCTGCTATAAAGAAAAATTATGGATTAGAAAATAAATGAAAAAAGTCTGGTTATACAAGTTTGGATAAACCACATCACATTTTTACTTGTAGCAATCTATGCCCCAAATGATGACCAGGGGAAATTTTTTAAACACCTTCACCAAAAAATAGTAGGCTTTGAAAAAAGAAACATTTGCTTGATTGGCGATTTTAACTCCATTGCAGACTACCAGAAAGACCATAGTAATATGGGGAAAAACAAGAAGGGGAAAAGGGAACTTTCTGCGGCATGTAAGGAAATGTTGAAAGACCTAAATTTAAAAGATCTATGGAGGGAACGGAATCTTGAAGGAAAACAATTTACATACTATTCTAACCCACATAAGACTTGGACCAGAATAGATATGGCTTGGATGGATTTGGACTTGGCTAATGAAATAAAAGAAATCAAAATCCTACCGAATGAATGGGCTGACCATAACCCAATACAGCTAATTTGGAGAGATAGGAGACGAATAAAAAAAAGATGGACACTAAACAACCAAATTGTAAACGAAGAAGAGTATATTAATAAACTGAAAGAGGAGCTAAACTATTTTCTAAAAGATAATAATAATGAAACAACTTCAAAACAGAACATTTGGGATACTATGAAAGCAATTATAAGAGGCACAACAATTTCCTATAATGCTATGAGAAACAAGAGAATTTATGCCCGACAAAACGTGTTACAACAACAAATCCAAGACTTAGAAATACAATTACAAAAAACCCCTAAGATCCAAGGACTACAAAATCAGTTAATACTAGCCAAACATAAGTTGAATTTAATTGAACAAGATAAAATAGAAGTTAGCTTGAGAAGGTCCAAACAAAATTATTTTGAACACGCCAATAAACCAGGAAGATGGCTATCTTATAAACTTAAAAAAGAAAAAGAAAAGAGATTGATACACCAATTAATAGACGAGAAAGGCATCCCACAACATGAGATTGAGAAGAAAAAGGATATTATATTAAACTATTTTCAAAGATTATATAAAAAAGAAATCAATGAGGATAAAATAAGAACTTATCTGGAGAATACGAATGATAAAACAATAGGGGAAGGAGACAAAGAATTACTAAATAAGGATATTACATGGTCTGAGTTAAAATCCGCAATGGAAAATCAATGTAATAATAAATCCCCTGGTCCAGATGGGATTCCAGTAGAATTGTATAAAGCCACAATAGATTTAGTAGGGCCTCTGATGCTGGAAGTGTTTAACGAAGTACTTTTGGCTGCCAAAATGCCAGACTCATGGAGGGGGGCGTTGATTGCGTTAATTCCAAAGGAGGATGTAGATGCCAGATATATCAACAATTATAGACCAATCTCACTTTTAAACGCCGATTATAAATTATTTACCTCAATTATAGCGAATAGAGTAAAACAAGTTTTAAATTTATACATTCATGAAGACCAAAATGGTTTCCTTCCATTCCGCCAAATTAAAAACAATTTAAGAACCGTTATTGACGTCTTAGAATATTATGAAGCTCATCCAGAGAAACAATTTACACTCATGTTTTTAGATGCGGAGAAAGCATTCGATAACTTACATTGGCACTTTTTAATACAAAAAATCTATAACATGAATCTGGGCACTAAATTCGAGAATATTATCACAACAATTTACAATACCCAACAAGCCAATATACTAATTAATGGTGAACAAACAGGCCCACTAAGCATTGAAAAGGGCGTTAGACAGGGTTGCCCTCTCTCACCCCTCTTATTTATATTTGCTTTAGAATCATTGTTAACGCGGATAAGACAAAACTCTGAAATCCAAGGAGTTAGGGTCAAAGCAGAGGAATATAAATTACAGGCGTTTGCAGACGATATGGTTTTCTTCCTAGAGGATCCCATGGAAAAAGGACATAATCTAATAAAAGAACTAGAACAATATGGCTCAGTAGCAGGATTAAAGATTAACAGAAATAAGACGAAATTACTGACTAAAAATCTAACAGAGAACCAGAGGAAAGAATTAGAAAAAACCATGGGGATACAGGCAACAAAAAAGGTCAAATATTTAGGCATATGGTTAACACCACATAGTAAATCGCTCAAAGAGAATAATTATGATAAACTGTTACAGCAAATTAAGAAAGATCTAGAATCTTGGAATAAGTTGCAGCTTTCTCTACTGGGCAGGATTGCCACGATCAAAATGAATATCTTACCAAAACTCCTTTACTTATTCCAGACAATCCCAATAAAATTACCAAAAAATTTTTTTGATGATATAAATAAGGTAACTCTTAAATTTATTTGGCAAGGGAAAAAAGCTAGAATCAGTATTAAGGCCTTACAAGATGCAAAAAGTAGAGGTGGGCTAGCGCTTCCAAACTGGGAATTATATTATTGGGCAGCCAACTTATTATGGTTAAAAGACTGGGTCAATTTACGGAACAAAAGAACTCTAGTCTTGGAAGGGCACGACCTTCAGAGAGGATGGCACGCATTTCTATGGGATGTGGGGAAAACTAAACAGGCGTACTTTCATAGACATCTTATTAGAGATTCACTATTAACTAATTGGAAAAAAATATGTAAAAAACATTATTTAAAAATTCCGATTTGGCTTTCAACAATGGAGGCAATGGTTCATCCCAACAATTTGGATATAACAAAAACGACTAAATATAAAGATTTATTAGACCCTTTAGGAAAATTGAGAACTCGACAGGACTTACAGGAACAGGGATTTAAAATTGATCAGTGGTTATATATACAAATCCATAGCAGATACAAACAAGATATCAAAGAGTTTGGAATCTATAGCAAATTACAACACTTAGATAAAATCTTAATAGGATCAAATAAAAAGAATATCTCCACATTTTATAAATATTTATTGGAGGTAGAATTAGAGCAAGAGATAGTGAAAGGGAACATGATAATGTGGAGTAGGAATATTGGAAGAAGCATTACATTAACAGAATGGGAAAAGATCTGGAATAGAATCATTAAGATTACAAAATCCGCGGCGTACAAAGAAAATATGTATAAAATGTTATATAGATGGCACTTACCCCCTTCGAGGTTAGCGAAAATGAACCCAAACTCTAGTCCAAAATGTTGGACATGTAAAAACATAGAGGGAACCTACTTTCATATGTGGTGGACCTGTAAAGAAGCCCAGAAATACTGGCAAAAAATTAGAAAATGGCTGGAGGAAATAACCAAAGAACAAATCGAATACAAACCAGAGTTCTTCCTACTAGGGATCTCTGATAAACATTTTCCTAAAAAGACGAAATATATAATAATTCATATCCTAACTGCGGCCAGATTAGCATTTGCCCAGTGCTGGAAATCATCCTATTTACCTACAGATCAAATGGTCATTCAGAAAATATGTGACTGTGCAGAAATGGACAATTTAACCATAGCTCTTAAAAATAAAGAGTCTTCAGCATTTGATAATAATTGGAATGCGTGGTATAATTGGTTATATCAGAGATAAACTGTTCAATGAATAATGGGTAATTTAAGCATAAATAGTGATAAGATGTGTATATTTAAAGTAAGGTAGGAGAATTGGATTTTGCAGACTGTCATAAAGGATATCTGTCTGTTTTTAACGTATTTTCTTTTTTCTTCCGTCTCTTGGTTTTTTTTCTTTCTTTTGTACTTCTTTTTCTCCTTTTTCGGTCGCAAGACCGAGCATTATTTTTTTTTCCTCCTCTTTCCCTTCTTTCTTTCTTCTTTTTCTCCCTCTGTTGCATATGTAATGTTGTTGTGTTTTTTTTAATTGTAAATTCAATAAAATTTATTTAAAAAAAAAATGAAAATAAATGAAAAATGAGAGTGGTAGTTTCAAGAATAAAAGCCAGATTTCAGAAGTTATAGTTTTCAGTGAGGATATCCAAATTCATTCCTTATTGGGGATTTGGATGGCATTTTTGTTAAATCTTCAATGAAATTCTTTATAAAGATTTTTCTATCATTGTTTCATTTGATATATGGAACAAATGCTAATTATTAAATTAAAAGCATTTTTGTGACATTCTCTCCTCCCAAGTTATCATACAAGGACATTGCAATATTGCAAAGTTCTAAAATTCCTGATGATACTTTTAAGCTAATGATGATCATGAAGACCTTAGATTTTAATTAGTGCAAACATAATCTACTTATTTTTGTTTGTATTGTGTTATTAATAGCTTCAGTTGCTAAACGAGGAGAAAAGATCTAAAAATCTGTCCCCTTTCCCCTCCAGTGTCTCTTATGTGTATGCTTTAAAATGGGCCTAGAAATTGCTGATTACAACTCCTGCAGCCACACCTAGCACAACCAAGAATGAGAATTGCTGTGAGTGTAGATAGTAAAAGCTGGAAGGCTTCACATTCCTCAGCTTCAGTTTTCAAAACTTGTCCTAGGAAATAACTCATGAGATTCTATAATTCTATTTGCCATGTGAATTATAGAAAGAATTAGAATAGGATGACTATTTGATTAGCCTGTCATTAGCCTTTATGAATGGGATACTGAAATACTAAATATTTGGTCTGATCCAGCAAGACAATTTGTTTTTCCACTGGGAGTCCTAAGTGAATGTTTTATTTGTTTCAGTCACAAGCATAATAATGGCCAACCGACATGGTTTACTCTTGGTATAAAGGAAGTTATCCAAGGCTGGGATAAAGGTTTGAAACAGATGTGTGTAGGTGAAAAACGCAAATTAACAATTCCTCCATCCCTAGCTTATGGAAAAGAAGGCAAAGGTAATACTTTCAGGTTCATTAAAATAATATAATTTATAATATAATTTTATTATAATAATAATAATAATATATATATGCTACCAATATTTATTTCTTTACCCAGGTTACATAATACAATTGCATGGAAAGCACAGCATCTTTCTGTATCTTTTAATACATACTTACTTAGTCTATGTTTATAGATTCAAAATATTTTGGGAAAACAACCATTTGAAACGTATCTCCAAATCAATCATGAGATGCTTTTAAAAAAGAAACAAACTTTGACATAGCCTCCATAGCCCAAAGTTTGAGTAATACTGAATATCTTGGGGAAATCTCAGACATTTGAGATAGAAGCGTTCTGTAAGAAAGTGGTGGTGGCAGTGGTGGGGAATCCAAATGCAAGACCAAAAAAATTCTTAATTGGCTACGGGAGACTTTTGGAAGCAGTTATTTCTGTCAAAGGAGATGCTATAAAGTACTGACCAATAGACCTTCCAAACCTTTACTTCTGCTAGTTAATGTTTTTTTTTTTTGAACCTGTAAATAATTCCATATAAAAAAACTATGCATTAAGAGTTATAGAGAGATACTGCATTTAACTTTGGATTATAAAAAAGTTGTATCAATTTCTATTCACTTATGAATTCAGTGAAACATTTGATCAGGGTTAATCGAGGTTATGGACTAATTTTTGCATACATATATGCTATTATATATTCAAAGATATTTCTTGGCTAATTTAAATTAGTTTGATATGTTTTTAACTTGATTATTTCCATTGAAATAAAGAGAGTTATTTTCTTATGTATGACTACACTGTTAGTTCATATGCAATGCATTATAACAAAACAACATTACACAGATACACAGACACTCTCGTTTCATCCTTTGGGTAGTAGGTGTCTTCCTCAATTTTTGGTTCTCCACAGAACCCCTGGGAGTTTGTGGGTTTTACTCAGTATCTTAGCTTTTCAAAACACTACCCTTCAAGACAGATTGTTCTGATGTTGGAATCTGTTGAAGCCACTCTCCCAACTTAAGAGTCACAGCCTCAAGTGCTTCTACCATTAGTGGCCTGTACTTTGGCCTTTACTTTCCATCTCCTCTCTTCCTCCTTCAGTCCTGGTATTTTTCCAGCTTCTCCACTACAGAAACAACTACAACAACATGTGCACCCATATATCTAACTGCTACAAGATCTCTTAGCATGCCTTGCTACTACTAATCATTCTGCCCCTTAATTTGTCACCATCAGTTTAAAACTTCTAAAGAAGAATCAGACTATATAGTATGTTACTATCAGGCTATTATAGAATGTTACAAGCAACAAAGTGGCTTTCTCCTTAACTTAGGCTTCATTCCCATAGGCTATAAATAAGAAGTGTGAAGTAATGTAGGGAAGAGAATATAAATTTGAACTGAAGTCAGTTCTGTGTCCCCACTTTTACTTTTCTTACACTTACCTTTTATAGGACAAACAGAAATACTACAAGTCTTTCTCCTCATATTAACCTTGGTGTATGTCTATACATTTTTCTGAGTATGGCCATTCTCAATGTTAGAAAAATTGACATTGCAGAAACAACACATAAAATAATTATCTTTATATAATCCAAATGGGGTGGAGCTACAAACAGAAAATGTGTACATTTGATGAACTGTAAACTATAGAAGACTAGATATCTTTCTGTACTTACCATAAGATAATATGATTTGTCCACCATTCTGGTGCCTTCAGGTGTGCTAAACAGTAAGAGCTGTAATTGTGATACGTTGAAAGGTTCAGTGAGACTAACTTCTAATTGAGTATGCATGGATTTGCATTCTAAATTAGACATTATGTAAATTTTCAATACTTTGGTTAACTTTAGGTAACAAAATAGGTGTTACGTTCTCAGTATTAGGCTTAATGTAATATCCATTTTATATATCTGTTGTTTATATTTCTTTAATAGGAAAAATCCCACCTGAAAGCACACTGATCTTCCACATTGACCTTTTAGAAATTAGAAATGGACCAAGATCTCATGAGTCCTTTCAAGAAATGGATCTTAATGATGATTGGAAGCTATCTGAGGAAGAGGTGAATTTGTTAATGTATTCTGCAGTGTATAGAAAAAGATAACTAAGCTATCATTTCTCTTGAAGTTTTATGAAAATATGGTGTCTATAAATAAATTTTTCATTCCAAGATGAGCTAGATTAGAATTGAACAATTACTCCTGCCTTCAGAATTCTGCTGCACAGTTATTCAACATATTATTTGAGGGACAGTTTAAATGAATCAAGAACTGGCTATGCAGTCACCGTTTCTGCTTTCCAAAAGTCCTTGAAGACATGTTATGCCAACTAGTTTGTGGTCCCAATTGGGATGTGGCAGTTTGGAAGTGGTTAGTGGAATAGATAATATCCCACCCCCAAAGTTTCTGTATGCATGTTGCCCTCTCACTTTCCATCCCAGTTTATTTTGTTTAATTGAATTTAAAATTTTTGATTCTTATTTATTGTTTTAATATTTATAGTACATTTTAACTGTAAGTTGCCCAGAGTTCCTTCTGGTAAGATGGGCAGCATAGAATTTAAATAAATAAATATATAGGCCTGGATTATATTTTATATATATGGATCTACTTTTATATCATGCTCATCCTACTCTTTTGGCCAGCTAACAAAGGGATAATATTTATGTGAAGCTACAAAATGTACTCTAAAAAGTCTCTCAATAACAGTTGCTTCTCTCTAGAAGTCTGTGCTTATCTGCTCTTAAATGCATATCTGTGATTTTGAATTTTGATCTTTTTTCTTTGTCTCAAAGGTAAAAATGTATTTGAAGATGGAATTTGAAAGACACGGTGCTCCAGTTAATGCAAGCCACCATGATACTTTGGTTAAAGACATATTTAATAAAGAAGATGAGGACAACGATGGCTTTATATCTGCAAGAGAATTTGTTTATAAGCATGATGAGCTATGAAACATACTGAAAAAGATGACTTGAACAAAACAATAGTTTGCAAAATGAATGGGTTTTTTTTAAGTTTTGGAGCTGTTACTCATCAGTGTGTGCATAAATTTTAAACTATTTTTCTACAAGACATACTTCTGATACCAAATGATACAGTTGTTTAAATGTAGGACTGAAACATTTTAAGGCTTTTATTTAGATTGAAGCATTTATTATGTGCTTAAGAACATGGAATTAAACCATTTCCAAAAACGAATATTACAGAAAATAGTTATTTGATTTGATGTATTTATTGAGAATACACCTGTTGTTCAAGTATTTCATTTCTGTGCTCTTAGAACTCTTAATATTTTAAATGATAGTTGTTGCAATGTTGCTAGTAGATCTCATTGTATAATTTATACAGGACCAAAGATGCTTTATCAGCCATTTTTTTTGTAAAAAAATAAAACATTGCTTTTTGCTGAAAGTGTCTCATATAAGTAACTTAAAACTGTATGGTAGTTTTTATTAAAGAAACCACCACCTTCTTTTCCCCAATTCAACAGAATGAAAGCGATTAAGGTTGGTTCTTGGGTCCTAGTGCTCTGCCCAAAATTTACTTAAAACCCAGTAGATCTCAAAATTGTAGCTTAGCAAGATTTTTTTCTCTTCTATATAAATTAAGTACAGTACATATAGTTCTTTTGAATTATAGGGTTAGGGTTAGGGCAGTGGAGGCTAACCTTTTTGGAGTCCTATGCCAAAAATTGCGCTACCAGCACCTAGAAGGCAATGCGCATGGACTCCCAAGCCCCCTGCACATGCACCCCTTTACCTGCACTGTGCATGCACGTGCCTCCCAACTGATTTTCGGCCCTTTTGAGGCATTTTTCGGCCTCCCAGAGGCTCAAGGGAAGCCTCTGCACCTTTGGAGGCCAAAAAATGGGCTTGTTTCATCACTTCCGATATTTCTGGAAATACAGGAAGTGATGAAACAGGACTGGTTTTTGGCCTCCAAAGCCTGCAGAAACTGCCCTCGAGCCTCTGGGAGGCTGAAAAAGGCCTCAAGCAAGCCGAAAATCAGCTGGGAGATGCACTCGTGTGCAGTGCAGTGCAGGTAAGTTTGGCTGGGGCTCGCATGCCTGCACAAATGGCTCTGCGTGCCACCTGTGGCATGCGTGCCATAGGTTCGACATCACAGGGTTAGGGTATTACTTTAACAGTAGGCAATCTGCTTAGTGTCTGTTGTCTGTGAGTTAAGATCCAAACAATCAGGCTTGTATAACAAAAGAGCAGGCCTCCCTTATGGGAACTAGGCCCATCATGTTGACATGGATTTTGATTACTGAGTTCTTTCCTTACATTATATAAGGAGTTTAGATTTCCCAAATGGGACTTTTACTTCTGTAATCTTTTGCTGTAAGTGTAACTCTGTTGTAGATTGGAATTAAACAGCTCTGGCAAGATGATTGAGTTTTACAGATGGTCTTGTTTACTAGCAACATAGTTACCGTATTTATCGGCGTATAACACGCACTTTTTCCCCCTGAAAATAGGGGGCAAATGATGTATGCGTGTTATACGCCGATGTCCAGGGAGCGGAATCCTCTTTAAGGGATCCCGTTCCCAATAGTGCCTAGCGGCGGCGCAGCGTCGTGACGTGATGTCAGCGCTGCGCCCGCCGCATATTATCACAGCCGCTGGCAGCTGATGAATATGGTAAGTGGAGACCCTTTCTTTGGGGAGGGGAGGGGGAGGGATTGAGGGAGGTGAGGTGGGGTGGGGGAAGAGATGGAGGTGAGGTGAGGTGGGGGAAGAGATGGAGGTGAGGTGAGGGAAGAGATGGAGGTGAGGTGGGGTGGGGGCAAAGAAATACTGACATTTGGCAAATGCCTCACTACTTATGATTGGCGTTGTACAGAATGCAAATTTACACCCCCCTGATACTACGGTACCTTACTCTTTTTTTTAATTTAAACTTAGGTAAAAAGTATACCACTGCAGTGTGACTCATCCTGACATTTTGACGCTGAAAAAAACTGCATTCATAACCGTATTTACGGTATTTCCCTACTACTGGTATCCCTAATGGATTTAAAACAAAAGCGTGGAGCATATACAGCTGCTTTCAAGTTGAAGGTTGTGGAATATGCCAAACAACACGGAAATAGGGTTGCAGCAAGGCATTTTGGAGAGCCACCAACAGAATGCACAATACGAGAGTGGCGAAAAATGGAAGAAAAACTCAAGACATTATCAAAAACAAAATGCAATTTTCGCAGCGGTATTGTTAAATGGCCAAAATTAGAAGAACAGGTGAAGGAATTTGTAGTAAATCATAGAAAAGCTGGTATTGCTTTATCAACAAAAATGATCATTATTCAAGCAGTGAAAATCAGCAAAGAGTTGCAAATACATGATTTCAAAGGAACAGCATCATGGTGCCAAAGATTCATGAAGAGGCATGAGCTTCGGATGCGAACAAGAACCAGGATTGCCCAGCGTATGCCGGATGATTATGAAGAGAAGATAATACATTTTCATAAGTTTATTATCAAACAAAGGAAAAGAAAAATTTTTGAAATTGGTCAAATAGGCAACATGGATGAAGTACCACTCACCTTCGATGTTCCTTCAAACAAAACTGTGGAAGGAAGAGGTGCCAAGACAGTAACAATTAAAACTTCAGGGCATGAAAAAAATCATTATACCGTGGTCCTTGCTGTCACTGCAGATGGAAACAAGCTGCCACCATTGGTCATTTTTAAAAGGAAAACTTTGCCTAAGGAGAAAATTCCAAGTGGCATACAGGTGCATGTTCATCCCAAAGGTTGGATGGATGAAGAAGGCATGAAGCTTTGGATTAGAAATGTGTGGGAGAAGCGCCCAGGTGCTTTGTTAAAGAAGCCATCCTTGTTAGTACTGGACTCATTCAGATCTCATCTTACAGAACCAACAAAGAGAGAATTTCAAATATGCAAAACAGAAATAGCTGTCATTCCAGGAGGACTTAAATCACAATTGCAGCCATTGGATGTTTGCATTAACAAGCCCTTCAAAGCCTTAATGCGTGAAGAATGGAATAAATACATGTGTGATGAAAACCAACATGAAATTACGAATTCTGGGCGAATGAAAAGACCTGGCATTTCAAAAGTTTGTCAGTGGATAAAGACTTCGTGGGACGCAGTTAAAGAAGATATTGTTATCAAATCTTTTAAGAAATGTGGCATAAGTAATGCTTTGGATGGTGAAGAAGATGAGCTGATTTATGAAGATAGTAGCAGTGAAAGCAGCAGTGTTCATTGCGATTTTGAAGATAGCAGTGAAGATGAAGAGTTTCTTGGTTTCCCAGATAGTGATTTCTGAGTAAACTTTTGTAAAAACAAAATATCCAAGTTTCTTTTGTTAAAACAGTTGCTTTTACTGTCCTTTTACATTATTTACCTTATATGTGGTAATAATATTAATAAAAAAAAAGTTCTGAGCTACCCTTATTTTTTTCCTGAAATTTCCCTCTTAAAATGAAGATGCGTGTTATACGCCTGTGCGTGTTATACGCCGATAAATACGGTAAGTAGTTGCTAAGTGAAATCCTAACTGCTTATGATCTTACTTTGGCTTTCTTTTGCTTCACAAAACTGTAAAGGTTGTGAATACAAGACTTAGCTGTAAAATTACTCTTTCATCATTGTCATAACACAACTGTTGCTAAATGAGAATGACTTAGACCATGGATGTCAAACTTGCCACCTCATGTTGCCAGATGATATATCATGACCTTTTACCCTTTTGCGGAGTTGGAGTGGATGTGGCCTGCATGTGACGTATCCACTGTAGGTTGCCAGTTTGATATCCCTGACCTAGACAATATACCTCTGTGGCTTAGTTTTGGAAATACAAAGCTATTTTTATTCTTGAGTAAGTTGATTCTTTAATATTATAAACCTTCCTGTGGTCAATATGGTATGCCTACCAGAAGAGTTGTGGTGTGTTTTCAACCAGCATAGCTTCAATAAGTCATGGCTTAAAAATTTAAAAAAAGGCATAGCATTATCTGGGAACCCAGTCAGAATCCTATAGTTATCATAGTGCTTTAAGGCAGACTTTGTGAGGCTGAATTCCCTGTCTAGTCAAAGATGTAGACTATAATTATTCTTATTAATTTGGGTGTAAGTTTCTTGAAAGTAGACACAGGAATGTGATGTTTCTGTGATTTAAGCTGTTGAAAATTTTATGCAATTACCAGTATTCCACACACACACCCAATATTAGTGTGTAAAAAAAGAGAAGCAGAAGTGCCGAAATACATATCTATTATGTTATCATTCATCACCAGCCTTTGGTCTTAGGGCAAGAACTTTATTTACTTATATATTTATTTAACATATTTACATAGCTATCTAACTCTCGGAATTGAATCTGGGTGACTTACAGCATTAAAAATCCATAACATACTGTAAAACCCCACCAGTAAAGCCTCTTCCCCATGTCAGCAACAGATATAATCACACTAGCAACTTGATCTGTTCCGTGACAGTTTGGAGTCCCCTGAACAAAACTGGATGCAGTACTCCAGGTGTGGTCTTACTAAAGCTTTATAGAGTGGTATTAATACTTCCCTTGATCTAGATTGTATCCCTCTGTTAATACAATTTAGGATTGCATTAGCTTTTTTGGCGGCTGCTACACACTGCTGGCTCATATTTAACTGGTTGCCCACTAAGACTCCAAGATCCCTCTCATAGTTACTGCTATTGAGTCTGGTTTCACCCAGTCTATATGTGTGCTTTTGGTTTTTCTTGCCTAAGTGTAGGACTTTACTTTTCTCTACATTGAATTTCATTTTGTTAGATATGGCCCAGTGTTTTAGTCTGTCAAGATCCATCTGGATCTTGAGCCTATCTTCTTGGTTGTTAGCTATTCCTGCCAGCTTAATATCATCTGCAAATTTGGTAAGTTCCCCTTCTATTCCCTCATCTAAGTCGTTAATTAAGATATTGAAGAGTACTGGGCCTAAGACGGAACCTTGTGGCACTCCACTGTTTACTTCTGTCCATGTAGACTTAGACCCATTAAGGACTACTCATTGAGTACAGTTTGCCAGCCAGTTGCGAGTCCATTTAGTGGTGGTACTATCTATTTCACATTTGTCTATTTTGTCTATTTTGTCAAATGCCCTGCTGAAATCTAAATATATTATGTCCACAGTATTTTGCTGGTCTACTAATTTAGTCACTGTTGAAGAATGAAGTAAGATTGGTTTGGCATGATCTGTTCTTAACAAAGCCGTGCTGCCTGCTAGTTATTACTTTACTTGTTTCTAGATGTTGGCAGATCTTTTTTTATTACCTTTTCCAGTATCTTCCCGGGTATTGATGTTAGGCTGATTAGTCTATAGTTTCCTGGGTCTGTTTTCTTTTTCCTTTTTTGAAGATAGGAACCACATCAGCTCTGTTCCAGTCCTCTGGTAGTTCCCTGGTGCTCCACAATTTTTGAAAGATATGGTGCAGTGGTTCTGAGATGAACTTCTGCCACCTCCTTTAAAACTCTGGGATGTAATTTATCAGGCCCCGGTGATTTGTTTTCATCAAGATCAGATAGGTGTTCTCTTACTATTTTTTTGCTTATTTTAACTTTTATTTCTGGTTTGTCTTTTACAGTTATGTTTTTGCTGGGTTGAGCTATAGTTTCTTTTTGCGTGTAGACAGATGCGAAGAATGAGTTAAGCGGTTCTGCTTTTTCTCAGTTGCCTGTTACTTCATTACCATCTTCTTTCTTTAGTAGACCGACTGTTTCCTTGATTTTTTTCTTGTTATTTATATGTTGGAAGAAACTTTTTTATTATCTTTGACTTTTGTTGCAAGTCTTTGTTCGTTCTGAGCCTTTGCTATCCTGACTTCGTCTTTGCAGATTCTGGCTATCTGCTGATATTCTGCCTTAGTTGTATGTCCTTTTTTCCATTATTTGTACTTTTCCTTTTTTTTTTCTTTCAATTTGCCAGAGAGATCTTTGTGCAGCCATGCTGGTTTCTTCTTGGATTTCTTGTTTTTCTTTCTCAGTGGTATTGTGCTGGTCGGGGCTTCTATGATCGTACTTTTTAGAGTTTCCCAAGATTCTTGAGTTGTTTTCCCCTTTAGGATTTTCATCCATGGAATCTTTCCCAAGTTCTCTCTGAGTTTATTGAAATCAGCTCTTTTAAAATCCAAGACTCTGGTGTCATTATGTTCTGTTGCTTGTGTTTGTGTTATGTTGAATTCTAGTATGACATGGTCACTCTCACCCAAGATTCCTGCAGTTTCAACTCTATCACTTCTTCTCTGTTTGTAAGAATTAAATCCAGTATGGCTGTCCCTCTATGAAACCCTCTACCTTTTGGACAACAAAGTTGTCAGCTAGGTTGGTTAGGAACTTATTTGATTTCTCACTTGGTGCAGAATTAGTTTTCCAATTGATATCAGGATAATTAAAGTCTCCCATATTGTTGTGTGCTTCCTGCTTATGTTTGTTAGTTGGCTGGCAAAAAGGACACCTATATTTTCTGCTTGATTGGGTGGCCTATAATATACACCTATGACCATGTCATTCTTTTTTTCTTTTATATTGACCCATATGCATTCTAGGAGGTTTTCATCTTTGGTTTCATTCATTTCTGTAGCAATATAGTGGTCCTTTACATACAGTGCAACTCCACCTTGTCTTTTATGGGGTCTGGTTTTTTGAACAGTTTGTATCCTACCTGTATGTTCCCACCAAGTTTCTGTTATTCCAACTATATCATATTTACTTTCATGCATTCGTAGTTCAAGTTCACCCTGTTTGTTTCCCAGATTTTGTGCGTTTTGTATATAGGCACTTGAGATCTTTATGTCTGACACTGTGTTTACTGTCTACATAACCTGTGTTGTGCCTGCCTGCCCCTACTTTCTTGCCTCCTGTTTGATTAGTGCACATGGTATGGCACTCACTATTAAAATGCTTGGTTGGCATCAAGGTTGATAATCTTAACTACACAACATCGATTTTGCATGCACTGATATCCTTATTAGTTTTAGGTTGCTGGGGACAGAAATGTTCTGAATCCATTAATTCTCTGTCCCCACTGTTCAGTTTAAATGTTTTTCCAGGAAATCTGTGAATTTAATGCCAAGTAACTCAGTCCCTTTCTTTGATGGATGCAAACCATCTCTTTTGTACAGTTTTTCATTAGACCAGCTGCAGACATCATGACTAATAAAACCAAAGCCTTCCCTTTTACACCACTCCTTTAGCCACACATTAAACTCTGCAACACGCTGCCCTTTCCCTTTTTGTTCCTTGTATACTGATAGAACCTCTGAAAAGATAAGCCTGCAGCCCATATTGCTAAGTTCATACCCCAAGCTCTAGAAGTCTTTCTGAACAAAAAGTACATCCTTCTGGGACAGATCATTTGTACTAAGATGCATAATAGCATCAACATCACAGTCCTTGCTGGCATTCTTGACTATCTTAAGAATACGCTTCTGCTGGCAGTAGCACCTGGTAGACACCTGACCTCTTTCAAAACCTCAGTATCCTTTCCTAAATTTACATCCCTTAGAACTGAGTCCCCAACCAGAAGGTGGCTTCTCTTTGTGGATGCCTTGCTCTTCTTGTGTGACTGGTGCGTAATACCTGATTCACACTTTCTCCTTTCCAAAGTAAGTTCTTCTTCTAGGACCATGATCCCCAGCTTACTTGAGTTATCATTATCACAACTACCTTGACCTGTCACTTTAGTGTCCCTATTAAGGTCAGCAAGGGCAGTGTATCTGTTATGCTGGGACACAGCAAAAGCTTTGCATTTATGGCCCACAGCTCTCACCCTGCCAGACCCCATGGTTGTCCATACTGCCCTTTTCCTGTAGGATCTTTGTGGTAGTGGGGGCTGGTAGCATGGCAGCTCAATAGATGGCTGGATCAGGCACCTAATTTCTGCTTGGAGAGCACAGATTTGAGATTCTAGATAGGTAATCTGTCCATGTAGACTGGTAATTTTTTTACAAAAAGGACAGTATCCAAGTTTGAAAAGAGTACTGCGAAAAACAGCTGTAAAACAAGTATTACACTGAAATAAGCCGGTCATTTTGAAACAAAATAAAGTCACTTGCTGATGGCTTTCCTTTGTCTTTTGACTATGTCAGATAATTTAATTTATTATAATGTCTACGTAGACTGTCTTTGAAGAGTTGTCTGGAAGCTTCAGTTGGTTCAAAATACAGTTTTGTACAAGCCTAGATTTGCACTTCTCATTTTGCACTTTTGTAGGAGCTGAATTGGTTGCCGATTTGCTTCAGGTGCAATTCAAGGTGCTGGTTATCACCTTAAAAACCTACTTAGAAAGCCCATATTTTGCAGTCTCCATCCATCAAGAAAATACAATTGGTAAGAACAAGAAAAAGGGCCTCCTTGCTGACAGCTTCTTTCTATGGAATACAGGTAGTCCTCAACTTATGACCACAATTTAGCCCAACTTTATGGTGCAAAGTGAGAAATTTGTTGAGTGAGTTTTGCTCCATTTTACAACTTTTCTTGCCACACTTGTTAAGTGAACTGCTGCAGTTATGTTAGTAACACAGTTGTTAAGTGAATCTAGCTTTCCCATTGATTTTGCTTATCAGAAAGTCACAAAAGGGTTGCATGATCCTGAGACATTGCAACCATCATAAATATGAACCAGTTGTCAAGCATATGAATGTAAGTAACATAACCATGGGGATGCTGCAACTCTCATAAATGTGAAAAATGGTTATAAGTCACTTTATTTTCCAGTGCTGTTGTAACTTTGAACTAACTGTTGTAAGTCAAGGACTACCTGTATTACTGCCCTTGCTTATTTTTCAAGAAGGCCCTGAAGATGTGGTTTTATAACACCACATTATAAAAAAGATGTTGAGACTCTAGAAAAAATTCAGAGAAGAGCAACCCGGATGATTAGGGGACTGGAGGCTAAAACATACAACGAACAGTTGCAGAAACTGGGCTTGGCTAGTCTAGTAAAGAGAAGGACCAGGGGAGACATGATAGTGGTCTTCCAATATCTGAGGGGCTGCCATAGGGAGGAAGGGGTCAAGCTATTTTCTAAAGCGCCTGTAGGCCAGACAAGGAATAATGGATGGAAACTGAACAAGGAGAGATTTAACCTGGAAACAAGGAGAAACTTTCTGACAGTGAAAACAATCAACCAATGGAACAGCTTGCCCTGGGAAGTTGTGGGAGCACCATCACTTGAGACTTTCAAGAAGAGATTGGACTGCCAATTGTCAGAAATGGTGTAGGGTCTCCCGCTTGGGCGGGGGGTTGGACTAGATGACCTACAAGATCCCTTCCAACTCTGATTATCTTTTATCTGTTAAGTTTAGGGAATCTCAAAAACACTATATGAAAATCCTTCAAACTCACTCAATAAACACAGAACAGCCTGAGTAGTCTGAAAATGTAATTAAAAATGGAACGAACATCTTAGAAAAGAGTGTAACTAGCTGAAAAGAGAGCAGCACATGAAATTCACTGTAACAGAAAGATTTCATATTTCTAAATAATACAGCATTTGACCAACCAATCAAGTATTTTCCACCATATCCTGCTGATCATTCTAATGTCTGCCCTTTTTTTTTTTTTTGCTAGGTAATCTTGCAGCATAGCAATAAGGGTTTAAATTTTGTGATGGGGATACAGATCTGTCTCAACCTCAGCGCGGTGTAAGCCTAATATGGAACTATGAAATAGCCCACTCCAGAACCTCCAACTTAACATATTTGCTTCTTCCAATATATTTGTTTCACCCCTCCCATCACAATCACTATAATTCTTCAGATTATTTTGTTAATATTAATTATTTATTTATTTTGCTCTGGTAGGATACAAAACTAAAAAAAAAACTAAAAAATATGACAGGCAGTCCAGACTACAATAATCTGATACACAACAAAATCAACAAAACAAATCGGGCTTTAGACAAATCACTAACATCAACCCCAGCTTTCCCGAACCTTCCCTCCGAGGGTCCAGGAAAGAGAGAGAAATAATGCTGCCATCTCTACCTTTCCCTCCTACTTAGCAACTTGATTTGAAATGTCACTTAGAAGGGCGGTGCTTCTGCACCCTGGGCGAGCCCGATGTTTCCTAGGTACCCCCTCCGCCGCTGCGTGGCAGAGTGAGCTTTAATCCCCTCCTCCCTCTGTCGCCCGCCCTAGTCTCGCCGCCGCAGCCCCGCCGTCTGAACCCAGCGCAGGGAAGACGAGCGTCAGCTGCTGCGACAAAGGCGGCGCCGCCAAGCGATGAGGTGGCGGAGCAGTCGCTGACGTCCGTCGTCCCTCCTTCTCTCTCCTGTGCGGCTGTTAGCTGGAGCCAGCCTCTTTCCCCCTGGCGTCCGCAAAAAGAGAAGCAGCCGCCGGCGGAGGAAGATCCACTGGGAAGCGTCTCGAAGGTGGCTCGAGAGGTGAGTCTCGCCTCCTTCCTTGCCGAAAGGGGGTGGGGGAAGGATGCTCTGCGATGCCAGCTGGGCATCAAGGGCACGTCCGCTGCTGCGCATCACCTGTGAACGCTTTTAGCTCGGCTTGTCTTTCAGCCCTTCAGGCTCCGAGCGGCGGAGCGCCTTAGGATGATGTGCAGTCAGCACCAGTCTAAATCGCCTCAGGGAGTCTCGCAAGTCTTCTCTCCTCTCTTTTGCAGCCGGATCCGTGGGGAGAACAAGAAGGCTGCGATATCACAATTGCCTTTCCACTCTTCTCTTCCTTATGGATGTTTTTACTAGAAAGAAATCAGGAGGATCAGAAAGAGCTTCAGAGCTTTTAGGAGAGTGATGCCTCCACAGGAGGTGATTATTTTTGCAAGAGGATGGTCACCAGCAAAAAGTGATTTTAAAAGCTTTTGGCCAATGGTCTGTGGTCCACAGTGGGTATTTCAGTGCATTGACCCATTTGAGGTGATGTTGTAGCTCATCACCGATCAGAGCAAGTATTAGGTTGGGTTCAGGCATTGGGCTAAATAGTTTTAATTTGGCTTGGCATGTTGTCAGAACTCACCGATTTGGGTCTGAATACCGTGCTGTATGGTTTAATGGACCAACCCCCACAGTTTTTCTTAAGGTACTAAACCAGGGTCAAACAAATCATGGTTTAATGTGATCTGTATGACTATGCATGGAAATCTTTTCCTGTCACCCAAATATCAGATCACATTATGTCCCACAGTATACTGTGAGGAATATAACATTTGATTCACTGAAGCTTTACAGGCCTTTTCCAGCCTGGTCCAGCCTAGATATGTTGGAATGACAACTCCCATTATTATCCTCCAGTTTTGGTTCCATTTGGCTGAGCTTCTAATTATTGTAGTTTTTACACATCTAGAATGCACTAATTTGATAAAAAGAATAATAGCCCCCCCAACCCCCCACAAACCAATCCATCATGCTCTTTAGGGATTACTTGTAACTAGAATAAATTATATATTGTGTATAATTCACAGGAACAGTGGATATATTGAAATAAGAGATACTGTAGCCCATTTAATTATGACGTTAGATATCTAGCTGATTTTGACAGCTGATGGAACCAGAATCAGTTCATTCATCACACATAGTGTTAAATGAGTTCTATCTCTCTTTTTCATTTACAAGTATGATGTAGCTTTAAGGAGACTAAATTTGTGTAATATGACTACTGCTTAGTGTGTATGTGTGTCTAATCTGAAGGATATGGATATGTACATCATCTGGACAATTTTTACAGGACTGTCTCAGTTGGCTGCCTTTAAATAATAGTAATAATAGTGAGAGACAGATTGAAACAAGAATCTTTGCTGCAATTTGCAAACTGCTAGATGCAGTATAAAATTATGAGCAATAAAGTGCTGGCTCATGACCTGAAAAACAATGTGCTAAACAGTCTCAGAAAACACAATTGTTAAATTACCATTATGACATTAATTCAGTAATTCTTCAAAGCCAAGCTTTTGTATTTTAAGATGCAATCTTTGCTTTAGCTGCTGGTATATATAATGAATGCAAATGTAGATTAAAGATTTCAATCTTGAATATGTTATTTAATAACTGATTAGCCCCGCTAAAAGCATTTTTTCCTCAAGGTTTTTGTACTTGAATTGGGTTATGTGTCCAGAATATTGCTTATCTATATCAATGTTTATTTAAAATAATTTATTCTGTTGTGCAAGTCTTGTATATCCCTGACTGAAGGATGTCCCAATGATATTTGTAGGCAAATATTTGCAAAGCTTTTTTCTTTTGTAATATATTTGTAGCCGTGCTTTTTATTTGTATTATAGATAACATTTGATCAAGTAAATGATTGTTACAGTCATAGATCACCATGAGATCTAAGATTTTAACTGTGTTTTCCTATTTCTTCTATCTATGCAAGATCTCTGGCCATTCTTGGGTGGGGTCCTAGGTTAGTAACAAAGCACACATAAGCCCAAGTATAATCCCTGTATCAATTCCTGATCTGCAGGTACAGATTCTGGCCCTTGCTTGGGTCGTTGATCTAATCCAATATGGAAAATCCTTAATGAAGCATTGGGAGTATGGAAAGAGAAATATTGCTTTTCTAAATAGTCAAATAATAGCATTCACAGATGTCCAATAATAATGTGTAATCATATTGTGACAGATTAATAATCTTGATTCCTGATTCTCTTCTAAATCTGCTGGATTGCAGATGATAATAAATTATAATAAATAATCAAATATTTATTAAAATAATAAATATTTTGAGAGGAAAAAGAGTGTCATATGTTGCATTATTTTTGCTCATCTCAATGTCCCATTTTGAAAAAAAAATCAGTAAAAAGTCACTTGGATGTGATATTTTGATAGTGATGCTAAGAAAGCTAAGATTGGCCAAGCGTCTACAAAACTTTCAGATTTCTATTCTATGCTATTCTATGCTATTCTATTCCATTCCATCCTACTCCACCCCATCCCATCCTCCCCATTCCATTCTCTATCCCTTATTAAACTGGATTCTTGTGTATAATAGTGAATGAAGATGGGTATGCCTTTTTTTGAAATGTCATACAAAATGATGGGGTAAAGGATGGAAGAGGTTACTGCATAAATAATACATAGAAATTTTGAAATATAGAAGTACAAATCCCAAACTATGTCATTATAGACAAGGATCTCTTTATTTTTTACAGAATATTTTGATATTATTATTATCTCTTTTATTCATTAAACATGCAACTCAGTCAATGGAACATTAAAAAATGTATCAAAATATCATTTAGTGATGCTGATGGTTGATACATCCTAGGCAGGGATGGGATTCAATTTTTTTTTACAACCGGTTCTGTGGGTGTGGCTTAGGTGGTGGGCATGGCTTAGGTAGTCATGTGACTGGGTGGACATGGCTTGGTGGTCATAAGTTGTAAGTGTGAAAAACTTTTTTCAGTGCCTTTGTAACTTTGAATGGTCACTCCACACAAGCAAAGTGCCAGCAAAGGAGGAGGGAAAAACTCCAGAGTGATTCCTGAGACAGGAAATCTAGTCCTGCCCAGAATGTAATAAGGATTAACGGAGAGGCAGTTTCTGTAAGCAACACCAGAATGTTTCCTTCCTGCCTTTCTTACAGGATGATTATTATTATTACTATTATTAGATTATTAATTCTGAATAACTTTGGAATTGTTGCCCTAATGATTACATATATCACTTGACTATTTTCTGTTTTTTTGGAACACTGAAATGTAATAGATACCCATAAGATAAAGACCTTTAAAGCAAATGTTCAGTGCTTTTCAAACCATTGAAAAATATATAACTATTCAGTTATATTCAGCAACAATTCTTTTACAACCAGCTGCAGCTTTTTAAGGATACAAAGTGTTCTCTTGAAAATGTATCAAATATACAGTTCCAAAATTTCTGGACAGTGTGGGTGTGATGACCCGGGGCCTGGCACAAAGGCAATACAGTCAAATAAGCAAGGAATGCCCCTTTAATACCTCCAACTTTGCCCCCAGTATCCAGATTACCTTCGGCTGGAGAAAAAACTCTCCCAAGAACAGTCTTTCAGTGGAGGAAATTCAGTCCAAAAACAAAGTACATACAAACTGTAAATAAAACTCCACACAAACCACGCTGCAGTAATTAACTTGACAGGGCAGGAGAAGGAATTGTATACTTGAAAGCCCAACAAAACACACACAATTGGGAAGATGCCAGGAGCCCAGATAAGCCTTGACGATACCAGATAATTCACAATTTGCTCCCAACAACCTTGTTTTGCCCAGCTACCCTTTTTAAACACTTTCTTCCCAGCTGCAGCTAATGAAGGGAATCAGGGCCCTTTCCTCCCTTGTAAGCCACACAACTCATGTTGCTCCCTTCTCCATTCCTCCCTGGGTGCCCTAGGATGAAGACAGGGTGGGCCTGGATCTTCCTCTGAATTCCATCTCCCTTGGTCTACCTCTCCCCTGCTCTGCCCAGCCAGCCTTTGCCCTTCCCCAGTTTCTTCCACAGCCAACGGAGCCACACTCCCACTCCCTGTCAGCTGCTCGGCCCCCTCTGAATCAGATTCTGACAGGAGCATGACACTGGGGCATTTCCTTTTGTGTTCAGCTTCTGAGTGACATAACACTATGTCTTAGGAAATACTGTATTTGATGTGTATAAAGGCCTGACAGCCTCAAGCTGTTACTTCTTATGCTGATACTTGGAATGAATCCAGGTTAAGAATTTGTTGTTCTAAATTTAAAACTATACCAACAGTGTTGGCAAGGTGGTCTGTCTGGATGGCAGTTACTTCATCTTTTGAATGGTGAAATTTCCTGCTTCTTTAGTTTTCCCATCCATGCCTGGAAACAAATCACTTCCTTTTCTGTGAGCAGGTCTTTGAGGGAATATGGTTTTAATTTGCATGATCAAACAACTCCAACATATAAAATCCTAAAAGGACTTTAGGGGTCCTTGATACAAATCCCCTGTTCAGTGCTGGAGCTGCTTGCTCAGAGGAACATTTTAATAGTGGGCCAGTTGAGAAAACCCATTTCATGTTCTACTGTCACTTAAACTAGAAGAGAAAATTGGCATACTATAGTCAAATTCAGGGAAAAAGCACTTTATTATTTCTCTTTTCCTCTTGTGACCTGGCTAGAAGGAGAAATTGTCATAACTCTTAACAATTTCCCTCCTGGTCCCAAATATTCCAAATCAATAGGTGCTTTAAGGGAATGATGATAGCAAGTGGGACATCACTGGAAATAACCTATGAATGCAAAGAAGGGCACTGGAGTATGGAACATGGAACTACCTCATTTCATTTATGTAAAGTAGGCAAAAAAGGAAAAGTTTCATCAGAGGATTGATTAAAATAAGCCACTCATCATTTCTTCATTTCATTAATAAGACAATCCTTCCAGTGGTGGGATTCAAAATTGTTTACTATTGGTTCTGTGGACTTGGTGGGCATGGTGTGGCTTGGTGGGTGTGGCAGGGGAAGGATACTTCAGAATCCCCATTCCCTCTCCACTCCAGGGGAAGGTTATTGCAAAATCTCCATTCCCTCCCTACCCCACTAATCTGCTTTCCAGCTCCATTCTCCTGTACAGGGCAACAAAACAAGACCAGCCAATCAGCTGGGACTCGAGAGGCAGCACATAGATGGGGGTGGGGCCAGTCAGAGGTGGTACTTGCCAGTTCTCCAAACTACTCAAAATTTCTGCTACCGGTTCTCCAGAACTGGTCAGAACCTGCCGAATACCACCTCTGAATCCTTCCAATCACCTGGATACAAGGGGAAGCTGTAAAAATTCCCTGTCTATCCCCCACTTCTCTGGAATATCCCAAATCAATAAGTGTTGCAGGAAAGATGTAGGGAATATTCCTTCAAAATGCTTTTGCATATGGCTGGTTGGGATCTCTATCCACCCAAGGGTACCAAAGAATGGGTGGAAGCAAGGGAGGAGCTGTACTGGGGAGAGACAATGATATTGCCAGCAGGATCTATCCTTCTCCAGTCCAATGGAGGAAAACAAGTTTTGAACATCTGCTAAAAGGAACAATTTGTCAACTGAAATGCATAAAGCTTCAATACAGGTAGTCCTTGACTTACCACAATTCATTTAGTGACCATTCAAAATTACAATTCCACTGAAAAAAGTGACTTATCACTCTTGTTCATACTTACAACTGTTGCAGCATCCTGACAGATATGTGATCTAAATTCAGACATTTGGCAACTGACCCATATTTATGACAGTTAGAGATAACTAGTGTATCATTTAAGATAACTTAAGATAGCTAGTAGCTGGTAACTTTCTTGTATGATCGTTAAGAATATGCTGTACATTTAGTGATGAAGATATCATCCTGAGATCCTTAATGGCTTTCACAGTCTAGAGTTATAGAAATGAAAGATTGTCTTTACATGTTGCTGTTCATGCTGCTAAACCTATTCAGTTTTTCCCAATGTACTCACAGTCGGCATGAAGATGCATTTAATACCTTTCAATCAATCAATCAAATAAAAGCAGACAGATAATATATTCTAATAAAATCTACACTTTGTAAATTAATGCTTTATAACTTAGGAAAATATGTAGGTGATAAAAAGCTACCAGAGGGCAGGATGTTGGCCTTTAATCAGGAGTTTCACAGCTAAGGTGTGGCATTGATGCATATAAAGGTGAGAGAGGGAGGGTATTAGATAATGTAGGTTTTTTTTTCAGCCAGTCAGAATTGCTTCTGTGCAACTACTAAGAGTACTGCAGTTATGGGTATAGAAATTCTAGAAGACTGGTATTCTTATGATGAAGTAGGATTGGACAATTTGACAATCATACTGCATGTACCTCATAAATTAATTGGGAAACCTGTTTTGGAGTACTATGTAAAGAAGCCAGGAAACCTATAGCCATCTTTTAAAAATATATTTAACAAAGAAACACTATCCCTATCATAGTTTTATATTGGTATTTTTCCTGAAAGATAATACATAATGGAGGAGGATGCTATTTATTTTTTTCATTGAGCTTATTTATACTGTTCAATACATGCTCCTACCTGTCTGCTTTTGTTGATTTAAAAGCAAGAAAAAAATGGGGAGTGGGAGGAGTGGGATCCCCTAGAAATGGTTGCCTGAAAAACATAGGCTGTTAGATTTGAACTTTTGAAGAAATGCTAAAAAAGGTTCATGATCAGCACTGAAGGAAAGCAGGCCACCAATTCAATTAAGCTGAATTCCCCAACCTGTGACAGACAAATGGAAGCATCCTGAGCATTTTTCATGGAATCAAAGGTAATAAGTCAGAAAAAACTAGCAACCTCTATTTTTTTCAGTTCAGTGAAATTGCAAAGCCAGCCTGATTTTCCCACACTCCTTGAGGCTTTCTAGAGGCTGTTTCCTAGTGACAGTATTTGCACCCAAAGTTGATGGCTGACCCATTTGAAACAAAGGCTAATTGGCAGACAACTCCTCCATCTTCTTTTACTTGTTTGTTTCAGTGTGAACCATTACACAGTGTGGTGGCCTAATTCTAGTGCTATAAATGTATGCAAAAAGTTTATAAGTCTGGCACTTCCTTATCTTAAAATAAAACTCAACTACAAAGAAATTCTGCTTGAAAATCAGTCTTAATAAGATATTTAAAACCTATGGTAACAGCTGTACTCCAAGAATTAAGCAGGAGTTGGAGATTTGCCAGCTATCCCAGTTTCATGTAACATACCTTTTACATATCCCTGGATTTCTTGAAAGACTGTGAAAATCAGCTTTGGATTTACAGGTAGAATTTAGAGAAGGAAAAATGAAAACAAATTTTGTTCATTTCTTGCAGTAGTAGGTCCTTAATTCAGATTGAGTTTAGCACCAATCCCCATCCATTCCATTCTTGAAAACAACTTTAAATACAAACTCCATTGGGGGTTTATCTTTTCAGAGTGAGTTGATCAAGAGTAATACACTTTCATATTAATCAAAATTATATTTCAGCATACTGGATATATTAAGCATTTTGTCATAGTATTGACAAAGGCATTTGCTGAACAATTTTTTTCCATAGTGGAAAAAATAGCATTACTGTATACAGTCAATTGCCCTTGAAATTAATATACATCATACATACAAGAGCATCTTGCTGTGGACAATGAAAAAATTTCTTGTGTTGTCACTTCATTAGTTTTAAAGGAATGAGAGTTTGTTTTCTGGCCATTGTCTTGTTTCATATGACATGCATCAAAAGTGATACAGTATTTTATCTTGGAATAAATTATCAAGGCATGCATAATGACTCAAAATAATAATAAAACTGAATTGTGCCCTCAGTTTTCAAATGCTAACTCCTTTTAAAGCTAGAAAATAGTAATTAGTCTCATATCCATCCAAGCAATTATGGTTAGTGTAAGGTCATATGATGTTGTTAAAAATAAATTATTTTAAATAACAAAAAAATCCTGCACCTGAATTTCTGCAACCAGTTCTAGCTATAAGTTCTAATCCTGAAATAAGGCAAGTTCATATTTTCAATATATACTTCTAACTTTTATGTTTTAGGATGGATGTGGTACCTCCTAGTTACTGTTTTGTTGCATTTCCACCAACTACTAAAGATGGCCATGCAATAGTTGGAAAAAATTCTGCACGTCCTCGTGATGAAGTTCAGGAGGTAGTTTATTTTGCTGCTGCTACTTATGATCCAGGATGTAAAGTTGAGGTAAATAAACATATTTGAGGTTCTGGCAAAATATTTTTGAAAATCGTTGGAACACTTATAGAACATCTTAAAATATTTTTTTCTTTTGCTTCCTTCCTTCGAATTGTCTGTCCACAATTGGTTATGTTTATATAGTTAACAGAGGTTAACAGATCTTCTTTATCAAAGATCAATATTTTCACCACAACAGCGATATTCCTATTTTCCAAAGACAGATTGTAATATATTTAAATCTTCTGTTTAAATCTGCAGAAAAACACCATAAGTATTTTAGTAGCATGAATTTATATGGCTGTTGGATCCTAAGGAATGTGATTAGATAAATTCATTTGTCCCAGATGGTCAATTTTAGTACCTTTTTAAAAAGGGTATTCATAAAGATGTTTGGTTCTTTAGCATTGAGTTTATAGACTCAGCTATCCAGATTTTATTATAAATATTATAATAATGCATTCATTATTATAATACATCCACACATCAGAAATTATTACATTTATAATTCTGGATGTGTTGAGGCCATGAATGCATCTGAAATCTTTAAAAAAGATTGCAGGCATAAGTCACCTAGCTTCTCATATATAACTCTTTAAGGCTGCTTATATAGTTCATGCTGAATTGTAATAAGATAATAAATTACAGTACAATGCCTTCTCTAATCTGGTTTCACACATGATGTTCAGACAACAACTTCTAGAATTTAGTCATTGTAGCTGGCAATTTTGGACATTGTAGGTTGAGGGTTATAAATTATTTTATAATTTATAATTTATTAGGAATGTTGTGCAAACCTGAATGCTTTAGTGGTTACTAAGATAAAAATTATATATAGTCTAGTCCAAAATCTTAAATGAACATAAGCATTTTAAAATGAAGACTGAGAAATAATAAAAAGGGTGCCATGACAAACCAATTTCCTTCATCTAGATTGATTATGTTCCATCAAATCATTTTCAACAACTTATTACTCTTCCATCAGTGGTGCTAATACTAATATTTTGTGTTACGTTTTGTAATACATTTGTTTTTAAAATATTAAAAAACTGTCTTTTTCTGACTGTATGAAAACATTGTACATTCTTTTTAATTTGGGTTTGAGTATTATGTTAAACCATTTATATATTTATAAACCATATATAAAATGACTGCTTCTTACCTCTGTGGGTAGTACTTTGAATAGCCTGCCTGAGAAAGTATCTCAAATATTTAGGTTGTGCAGTGACTCAATAGATCTGTACTGTGCTTCAGACTGTAAGACCAAAAGGTCCTTTGGAGTATACACAGATACCCTTTAAACTGTGATGTCTTAAGCCAAGGCCTGTTTTATGTAAGAATTTGAAAATAGGCACTTTACATTTATACAACCACCCAAGTCATACACAGTGACACCCTACATTAGAAGTCCACAATTAAAAACTCACAATATATGTTCAAAAGTCTCCTTTTTTAATTCAGAATCTAAAACTCTGTATATCGCTATAGGATAATAATAGTTTTTGTGCAGTTAAATCTAATCTGATTCAATTGAATGCCAATTTGATCTAGTAAACTACTGGCCTGGAAATTTGGAGAAATTTGGAAATTTAGTCCTGTTTAGGCATAAAAACCATCTGGCTGACTTTGGGCCTTTCAAGGAAACACACTTCATAGGCTTGCTGTTGCAGGGAAAAAGAGGAGGAAGACGAAGCAAAATGAAAATTTGCTGCCTTGAATCACTTATAAAGTAATACAGGTCAGATAAAAAATTATCTCCTTTTTTCTGTACAGTGCACATACATTGAAATAGACCAAGTACCTAAGACAAATGCTGTTGCACTGAGCAGACCTTCCTGGCTCTGGGGGGCTGAAATGGGAGCCAATGAACATGGAGTCTTCATTGCTAATGAAGCTGTGCTAGCCAGAGAAGCAGCCTCTGAAACTGAAGCTCTCCTAGGAATGGATCTTGTGAGGTGAGAAGGTCATCTTATGAACAAGGAATTTATCATTTGGTAGGGTGATTTTGAAAATCACCTAAGACACCAGAAATAGACAGACAGACAGACAGACAGACAGGAGAGAGAGAGAGAGAGAGAGAGGCAGGCAGGCAGGCAGGCAGGGAAGGAGGGCTTTTGGTAATATTGCATCGGTCGCTCTGTTTCAAAAACAAAATACATTCACATAAAGTGTACTTATCAGGTTATATGCAAAATGTAATTCTTCAGATTTTGCAAAGTGGAACCCACAATTCAACCTTGAACTAGCAATGTTCTGTTCTATCAGTGCATTATAGTATATTAATTGTACATATATATTTTAATTCATGGGGAAAATCTAGCAGCTGAAGCTACATATTCTCCAGTCTGCTTATGGACCCTGAATATTCTTTCATTCTTTCTTTCTTTCTTTCTTTCCTTCCTTCCTTCCTTCCTTCCATCCATCCATCCTTCTTTCCTTCCTCTCCCCCCGCCACACACAGAAATTCGTTCCTTCCATTATTTTGTCCTAAATTAAAAGTAATTATATTTAACATATTGTCTCGTCCAAATTCATTATAATCCCATATTACTAATCAGACTGTTCTCGACATTTTTAAAAAGTCAGTGGCTTGTATTTCTTCCTCCTTCTCCTGTTAATTGTTCAGTAAATTATTTTATTTGTTCAAGCACTTTAACGAAACACAGGTTCTTAATGTTTATCCAACACCAAGTCCATCTAGTAGACAACAATTTGTAAAGCTATCTGAAATAGATTTGAAATTATCCAGATGCATTTTTTTAAAAGTAAACAATTTTAGGAATTTACTCTTTTCCTCTGACTGCCAATTTTCCATTGCAAATTATTATCCTCCTCTTCTTCCCTTTTCTCTTTTTCATACAGATGATCTACGGCTGATACAGTTTAGGGCTCCAGGAAATAGCCAATTTCCCCAACCTAGCACCCTCCATGTCTGTTGAGCCAGACACTGGTTGTGCTTTCTGAGAGCTTAGAAACAATACCAATATAGCTGAACAGCATCAGCATGGAGAGTATGGTACTTGAAGAATATTTGCAAAAAGACAGAAAACGTTTTTTTTTATTCCACCATTTGCTAAGGACGTCTCTTTTCAAGATGTGAGGTTAACTGTTGCATTGTTGTCATACAGTTGACTTTGCGCTGTTATACAGTACCAATAATTCCCCAGAAAACATGTGGAATCATTGTTTATTTAAACCAATGCTTTTTCAAAGCTGGCAACTAGCATGGTAGCTGAGGAATTCTGGAAATTAAAGTCCAGACATCTTCAAGTTGCCAAATTTGAAAAACACAGCTTAGACTTTATTTATTTATTTATTTATTTTATTTGTCAATTGCTTATAAGATAATAGGTATAAGTAAAAACATAGTTACGAATACATGGATACATATACGAAAAATAAAAATATATATAAAAGAAACAATAGGACAGGGACGGTAGGCACATTGGTGCGCTTATGCATGCCCCAGATAGCTACATCATTTTCTTCTTTGCTGTATGTAAATTAAAGAGAAATTCTAAGTGCTTCTGTAACTAGATAGCTTGTTTTATTCCCTTCCCAGACTTGGGCTTGAAAGAAGTTCAACTGCTAAAGAAGCCTTGGATGTCATTGTCTCGCTGCTGGAAGAATATGGTCAAGGTGGAAATTACTATGAAGATGGAAATATGTGCCATACTTTCCTATCTGCTTATCTGATAGTAGACAGAAGAGAAGCTTGGGTATTGGATACTATTGGAAAATATTGGGCAGCAGAGAGAATTACAGGTCTGCTTTTAATTTTTATCCCTATCCATTATTTATAAGAAAATATTATAAAATGTGCCTTTCCAATGTGACACTGTATAAATTCAGATTTTATTTCTTGTATGTACTTATATTTTTGTATCACCAGCCAACTGAAGTTCTCCAGACAGTTTACAAAAAAGAAGTTAGAAACCTTCAAATTTGAAAGTCAAAAAATAAAACAAGATGGACCTGAGTTCCGGAAGAACTTTAGAGTAAAATGACTGGTACAAGCATCTTCAAATCATTTCTGAAAATTAATCATTTAGAACTCTTAAAGAATGAAAAGAATCTTTCTCTGACTTTGACAAGACTACACTACAGTATATACATTAGACTAAGTAAAATTAGCTATGACAGTGTGAGTTGAGCCACAGAAGTGATCTTATTTTCTTTGCTGAAGAAACATTTACTTGATTGTCTGTGTAAAGCAATTTGAGTGGCACATGACCATTACTGGCTATTTTATGGGAAATGAATTTGCTTAGTTTTTCCATAGTGTTACTAGGCCAAAGTACTACCAGGCTGCCCAGTTATGGGCTGCACAGACCCTTATCAGAAGTTCAAGATCTTCATCTCATGAAAACATACTCCAGGGTAGTGACTTTGATACTCACTCTGTGGGCAATTCTGTGGCACTTACTGAAATAAGAGAGTGGCTAAGCCTTCAGAAAGATTACTTTAGCTGCCTTCAGTAGGCAATCCTATATCAATGCACAGTGTTGGAAGACTTGAAGCATGGATACAGAGGAGGTGGATGGACTGTTTGCTTTGTACTTATTGACCAAAATTCTTTGATAACATTCTAGAGTAATTGAATTATCCCTGTGCTGTCCAGACAGTTTAGAGTTAATGGGATTTGGAATAGTTAATTAGGAATTGTGAGCTGTCCCCTTAAGGGAATGAATCATGGTAAATGTAGTTAAGGCATCCTGGGAAATGTAGTCCATGTCATGTGGTCACATCTGTAATCCGGATTGGTCACTAAATTGACCCTTGTTGGGTTGGGGGAGGCTCTCTCACTTTTGCCTGAATCCACCATACCATGCAGTCGCTTCAATCATCATGGGGTTGAGACTTTTATTATCTTTCTACACCACAATTCAGATATGCAAAGGATTGGACATTAAGAAGAACCTCGTCATAAATGTGAGTTGATAGGATGCCTGATGAACCAATAAAAAATACTTTGTATGGATGGTTTGTGGAGTTACCCTCTCTGCTTTATGCCATCCAGACATTAATAAGCAGAACAGTAGAAAGATAATTATTCTTGATTCCTGGAAAAAGTTAAAAGATGGATTTAAAAAATCGGGAATCCTGAAGCCCTGAGATCTGCAATATTGAAGCCAGGAGTAAATGTGCATGCTATCCTTTTGTACTTTGGTTCTCTCTCCCTCAAACCTCTCATTGTGGCCAGGAAGGGACAAATTCTCCCCCCATTTCTCTTCAGCGAGAGAAGTGCTGTGTCTCAAGTTACAGCTCCTAACTCAGAAAGAACCAATTTGCAAAACAAAGGGAGGAGCCAGGTATGACCCATGTACCCATATCTTCCCTCAGTTACTACCTACAAACTCCTTTCAAATGCAGATAAAGAGTCAAAAAGTAATCTCTTCTTGTGTTTTACAAAGAAAGCTAAATCTGCTCTGCTCATTCTAATTGAAAAGCTTAGCATTTCTTAAGTTTTATGCTCCAGCTCAGAGGCAATAAGAAAAGCCTCTCCAGCTATTTTTACAACCATTCTGGCCATTTTACTGGGGTCATAATTCATTAGTTGAAGGACCGTCTTCAAAGCAAAGAAGCTCATTCCCCCACTCCCAAGACACAAAGCTAATTCAAGCAGCTATATGAACAAAGGAGCAATTTCTTTTTTGTTTAAAAAACCTAAGAGTTTCTCCATCTTTACTAAAAAAAATTCAACTGTATAACACTGCATGAACCCTTTTTTTTTGTTTTATGAATTTCTCTTTCAGCGAGTAAGCAATAAATTCCTTTGGGGCTCACCCCCCCCCCCCCCCCCCCCCTTAAGCAACGCAGTCCACAGCACCATCTGGTGGTCTAGGAGAAATTTCCCAGAGAATTCAAAGACTTGTCTGCCCATTTTTATAAGAACTTGTTTACAAATTTTTTATAAAATCTAAAGGGAGTTTCCCAAATTTAACCAGTGTTTAACCAATGCAAATTCCTTTTTTTAAATTATTGTGGCAACATTAAGCAACTTAATGCAAGGTTCCAGTACTACCTGCAGCCTACTCTGTGCTTAGCAATAGTGTCTTCCAGACCCAGCAAGCAACACTAACAGGGAAACCTGCATTTTGCTCTCACGTCTTCAGACTCAGCAACAATGCCTCCTATTGTGCCCATTTGTGTAGCAAGCAACACTAACAGGCAACTCTGCATTTTGCTCTCACATCTTCAGACTCAGCAACAACTCCTCCTATAGCGCCCACTTGTGTTGCAAGCATGCACCGCACTCTAAAAGCAGCCATATTGTGTAGCGCCACCTACGTGCTCAAGTACTAAATCTAGCAGACACTCCTGCTTTCTGCTACCTGCGCATAGCGCCCTTAGCAAAATAAAGGAAAACTACTAAATTTTCCAAAATTCACCCTTGCCAATTTGAAGCATGGCAACTTCTTCAGCCATGATAGATGTCCCCGAAGTATCAGAGGACTTGAACACTCCACCCACCCTAGATGTAAACGTAGAGCCCGGTTCCCTAAACCCAGAGGCAGCTGGACCTCACGAAGCCTACAACCTCAGAAAGAATAAGAAGCTTACTGAACCCATGGAAGAACACTTGAGGGACGATTGGGAGAGGCAATATCGCCACTACACAGACTCATGGTTGGAGCTAGAGGAGATTTGTGATGCCCCAAAACACAAGCTGCCCCCTCGAGAGAATCTGCACATTGCTAGATGACCTAGATGCCCTTCTCACACAGTGGAAACAGCGAAGCTAAACTCAAGTTCATCCAGTCAAGACTGGGTGACCCAAAACTCCAAGCACACATCCAACACTTCGAGGAATTTCACAAAGGACGCAAAGACTGCATTGAGGAAAGCAAAAAAGCCCTGCAGGCAGCGCTTCTCGATGTGCTTCAAAAGGAACAAGGAGCAAGGAGAGGGCCACATCCAAAATAGGTCTTCAATCACAAGCAGCCTCCTCCCACCATTCTAAGAAAGCCTCCTCCCTCCATCCCAAACTGGCTAGATTGCAAGCAGGTTCCAGTGTCTCACGCCAATTCTCTGCTGCTGGGTCTCACCATCCCTCCAGAGCATTCTCCCATCGCAGTGGCACATCTAAGGCCTCCAAAGCAGCAAGTTATGCTGACCGGGCTGCAGAAGCTGAAGTAGAAGCTGCTGTAGCAGACACAGATCTACGCGCCACAGGAGGTAACACAGCGGAAGGTGGTAGTAGCAGTTCAACAGGCAGAAATAGCGGCTCAACAGGCAGAAATAGCGTCCAGACAACAGGCAGAAATGGCCAAAGCCCAGGCCAGCTGTTAAACCTCTGACTTCCACCTCCTTTATATTCAGTAACCAAAGCTCCTTATACTAAAGGAGCTTCTTTAATAAAATGTTAATGACTATCCAGATTCTGCCACACTTTGAACATTGATACCACTAGGAGCTTTGTTATGGTAACTAATTTAATTTATATTGATTTTAATGAGCTGTTCAGAATTTCATAGATCCAGATATAAACATGCTTGGAAGAGACTCACTCACATTCTGCCTGCCATCTTCTGGCCAATGCTCCTGGCAAATTGATGCTCAAGGAAAAAAGTAATCAGTATGACTAGCTCACTTCTCCAGGAATGCAAACGGGCTCGAGTCTGATTACTTCTAGTGATCAGTGGAATCTCTCTATCACACAAGTATTCTAGAATATCCCAGCCTGGGATATCTTTTAATTAACAGACTCTTCCCAACTTTTTCTGGTACTAATTGAACTTGTTGAATGGGCAAGTCATGTCTGCTCAAGACCATAGAGAACTGTTTCCAGTTGGAATAGAGAATTCTGAACTTCAAGGGCAATTGTACCCCAAAGTGTAGTTTAAGCAGAATAGGTATTAAGAGATTTAATCAGAGGATTCTGGAATAAGGGGAGGGATGGCCAAAATGCAGAAAAAGCTAAGAAGCGAAAATCCTATGATCAAAGATTTTCCTTTTTATCAGGTCATTGTGCATGTTTAAAAATGAGAGCACTTCAATCATGTAGTCATTTTAAACCACCTCTTCCCATAAGACACTCCTGGATTTAAATAATGGATAACCAATATACACTGCTCGAAAAAATAAAGGGAACACAAAAATAAGACATCATAGATCTGAATGAATGAAATATTCTTATTAAATACTTTGTTCATTACATAGTTGAATGTGCTGACAACAAAATCACACAAAAATTATCCATGGAAATCAAATTTAGCAACCCATGGAGGTCTGGATTTGGAGTTACATTCAAAATTAAAGTGGAAAAAAACACTACAGGCTGATCCAACTCTGATGTAATGTCCTTAAAACAAGTCAGAATGAGGCTCAGTAATGTGTGTGGCCCCCACGTGCCTGTATGACTTCCCTACAATGCCTGGGCATGCTCCTGATGAGGTGGCAGATGGTCTCTTGAGGGATCTCCTCCCATACCTGAACTAAAGCATCCCCCAACTCCTGGACAGTTTGTGGTGCAACGTGGCATTGGTGGATGGAGTGAGGCATGATGTCCCAGATGTGTTCAATTGGATTCAGGTCTGGGGAATGGGTGGGCCAGTCCATAGCATCAATGCCTTTGTCTTGCAGGAACTGCTGACACACTCCAGCCACATGAGGTCTAGCATTGTCTTGCATTAGGAGGAACCCAGGGCCAAGCACACCAGCATATGGTCTCACAAGGGGTCTGAGGATCACATCTCGGTATCTAATGGCAGTCAGGCTACCTCTGGCAAGCATATGGAGGGCTGTGTGGACCCCTAAAGAAATGCCACCCCACACCATTACTGACCCACTGCCAAACCGGTCATGCTGAAGGATGTTGCAGGCAGCAGAACGTTCTCCATGGCGTCTCCAGACCCTGTCATGCATGTCACATGTTCTCAGTGTGAACCTGCTTTCATCTGTGAAGAGCACAGGGCGCCAGTGGCGAATTTGCCAATCTTGGTGTTCTCTGGCAAATGCCAAATGTCCTGCATAGTGTTGGGCTGTAAGCACAACCCCCACCTGTGGATGTCGGGCCCTCATACCACTCTTGTGGAATCTGTTTCTGACCGTTTGAGCGGCCACATGCACATTTGTGGCCCGCTGGAGGTCAAGAGCAGTGCTCTTCCTGTCCCTCCTTGCACAAAGGCGGAGGTAGCGGTCCTGATGCTGGCTTGTTGCCCTCTTATGGCCTCCTCCACATCTCCTGATGTACTGGACTGTCTCCTGGTAGCACCTTCATGCTCTGGACACTACACTGACACAGCAAACCTTTTTGCCACAGCTCGCACTGATGTGCCATCCTGGATGAACTGCACTACCCAAGCCACTTGTGTGGGTTGTAAACTCCATCTCATGCTACCGCTAGAGTGAAAGCACCACCAGCATTCAAAAGTGACCAAACCATCAGCCAGAAAGCATAGGAACTAAGAAGTGGTCTGTGGTCACCACCTGTAGAACCACTCCTTTATTGGGGATGTCTTGCTAACTGTCTATGCTTTCCACCTGTTGTCTATTCCATTTGCACAACAGCATGTGAAATTGATTGTCAATCAATGTTGCTACCTAAGTGGACAGTTTGATTTCACAGAAGTGTGATTGACTTAGAATTACATTGTGTTGTTTAAGTGTTCCCTTTATTTTTTTGAGCAGTGTATAATGAGGCAAATGACTGTTTTCTTCACACACCATATACCACACACCTATCATCCTAACTGTCTGGTGTTTCCCTGCCAGCCTAAATGTTTTCCCCTACCTCACCCTAATGTATTTTTTTGACCACAGCCATAGGCAGTTTACTTCTCTCATCCCCCAATGTTACTGCTTTCCATTTTTCAGTTTTGCCATTTGCAGTAGGAACTGTTCTTGAAGTTCTTACCAGTTCTTCTTCTGGCTTATTCTGTTCATTTTCTCTCTCTCTCTTATTCTCATTCACCCTTTTTGCTTCCTTCTTAGGTAAACCAGACAAAAAAATACAACTAGATGAGCTAAAGCTACTTTATTATAACACTACACTGCATTAACAGAATCTGACAGTATAAACTTCCCATCACCATTTTAACCAGTTGATCAGTTAGGGTGGGCCCTTCCTAAGTTCTTTCTCTGACCCTTAAGTGGCTATCTTCTTTTCCCTTTCTTCTCTTATCTTGCTAGGCAGCATCTCTTTCCCTCATCCATAAATTAGTTTCCCTGTTCTCTATCTTAAGATTAAATCTTTTTAACCAGAAAGGGTGAGGCAAAATAAACTTCATTTAGCCTTAACTAGACAAGCTTCTTTTCTTCCATCTTGAAGCTAGGATTAAACTTTCATTCTTTCTAACCAAACAAGGGAGGTTTGAGGCCAGTCTCCTATCTTTACAAGCTGTCAAGCATGTTTTATTATAGAAGCAAGTATGTTGATTATTTTTCTGAATGGGATGTATATATTTGGTATATCTACATACTTGTAAATCAGTCTAGCCACTCTGTGCATCCGATATTTTTGCTACCTTCCTTAAATGTGACAGACACTTGAGTGAACTTTGCCATTTATTATAAAAGCAGCAAAGGTGAGAAAGAATCAGTTCGTCACTGCTTTGCAAAATTCAGTGGAGCAGCCCTTCTAAATCTGTTATAACATTAGCACTTAGCTAATAGGATTTTATTGAATGCAAAATGGATCTCACTTTAGTTTTTTTTAATGTCATATTTTATTTAGATGATTTATTCTTGTTTCTATAGACGGAGTGAAGTGTATTTGCAACTGTCTAACCTTAACTACAAAAATTGATGCAGAACACCCTGAGCTTAGAAGTTATGCAGAAAGTAAAGGATGGTGGAGCACAGATAAGGAGTTCAATTTTGCTGAAGTATTTTCCCAAGCTGATGATTGTTCAAATTGTTGTTTGGGGAAGGAGACCATAAAAAAGCAAGAAGGCAAGTAACTTTGTTGCCCAAAGTCTGATTCAAACAGTACAAGTTTAGAGCAGGAGTGCAATTTGACCATTTATTACTACTAGTGGCATTTTTTTTAGAAAGAATAAATTAGATAATGTATGCATAAAAGGGCACAAGAGAAACTTGGAACAGAAAATTCAAGGTCCTATCCAGGTAGTGATCTTATGCAAGGAGCTTACCCTTCAACTGCCTTTGCATAGGAGAGACTTGAACAATTCCTCAGAAAATTTAGAAATAATCATTATTGTGTTGACCAGTTGATTAAATAGAAAATGATAGAAAAATCTATATTCATTGAATTTGAATTTGTAGATGCACATTTGAAAGCACAGACCATCTATTTGATGTTTGTTAGATCCACAATATCCTGCAATGTTAAGGAATATATTATATTGTTTGGCAGCCAATGACACATATATCCTGAAAAATTCCCAAAATCACTGCAGGAGTTTCCAAGTACCAGAGGTGGGAATCGTGCTCATCTGGTGGTGAAGGTTGCAAATTCATCCTGCAGAGAAGGATGAATTCCAATTGTCTAAAAAGAGGAATTGATAAAACCACATCACATTCCATTTTGCATCTATTTTGTTGCCCTTGCCCTTTTTGAATTTTAATAATAATTCCATTTAACATTACCCTTAATATTAGGCTACAATGTTCAAAGTGATATTTGAAAGAGTAAGTTATATAAGATCTGGTGCACCAGCATTTGCAAGCTAAGGGTCTTACTTGGGGGCTTATAAACTATATTAGGGGCCAGAAAAAAAATGATGTCATATTGAAGGTTGATTGCAACGGGGGATTGTACAAAATCTGGGAGGTTGCTTAGGTTAGGCACACATACAAAAGGGATTGGAAAAATCTTTACAAATTGCAATTCCTTTACAAGCATATGCACGAAAGAAGATCTCTTTGACACCCTGCCTCTTTCCTTGCATATATTATTGCAAGTTATTGCAATTTTTATTTTTGATATTTTTGATATCCTCTGTGGACCCTGCTGGATCTTTCCCTTTGTCTTTTGGCAATAGATAGAAAATAACCATATTGCATTGTGTATGGATAGTTTTGAAGCAAACAATTTCATATACATATTAATATATACATACACATACGCATACATACATATATATAGTATTATATATATATATAATTATTTTTAAAAGGAAGATAAAAACTAATACTAATATAAAAAAAGAAAAGAAAATCAAAGTGCAGCTTAAAAGTTCAAGAAAGGAAAAAAAAGAAAATATTACAAAGAAATGGTTTCCAATCTTTTTTATAGCAGTTAAAAGTATTCTGTATTCAAGTATTCTGTGGTCATATTACCTGTTATTCTATGTTTGCAATTTTTCTTTCATTGATCTGTCTTATTTAATCATCATACATTCATTTTTCTCCTATTTTACTCAAAAAGCCTCATACAGGCTGTTACCTCCCAGATGCACTGGCAAAGAAGGAAGTAGTTTTTTCTTCCTGAAATGATCATGCCCTGTTAACTTCCAAATTTCCATTTTTTTTTATTTCAGGCAACATCACTGTGGAAACTATGATTAGCCTATTACGTAACAAGACTGAGGGCATCTCTGTGGATTCAGACTCTTTTCTTACAACAGCAAGCATGGTGTCTATTTTACCTCAGAATCCAACTTCCCCATGCATTCATTTTTTCACTGGCACACCAGATCCATCCAAGTATGTTAGACGTACCAGCATTGTTTTAATAGTCTCAAGAATTAATTACTAATTTTACATCTTGGATGAGTAAAATTTTTTTTTTCCAAATCACTAGCCTTATTTTTGCAGCTGCTACCTTAAATCTAATTGAGTAAAGGCAGCTTTGTAAAGATGAAAAAAAAGATAGATTAGTTAAGTGTTAATCAATCCTGGCAACTTTAAGATGTATGTTGCTTTCTTTTTAAAAGATATTATTTATGTTGGGCTCATATATCTAAGATGTATGCATATTAATTAATTATTTTTTTAACCATAATTCTTCGTTCTGCACTGCATTGGAACTTCATTTTTAAATTCACTTTTCTGATACTGTGGGATTGTTTCAGAAAATATACACACATCTATTAAATTATGCTGTACTTTTGCTCCGAAGCCTAAAGATGGTTCAGAGCAGGGCACTATCGGAGCCTCCTTAACTGAAGTATGCATCCTTCTGGGATTCAGAAGCAACTACTATGTTAAGCTGAAGAAAAGACCTCATTCTTTAAAAAGTTCTAACCTTATTAGATGTAAAATAAATGGTGTAAATAGTTACTCCTGTGCTTTGGATACAAAATGCTGGATATTCTCATATTTATAGAGAAATATATAAAGCTACCATTGTTTTTTGAATGTATAAAACTAATGAAAGAGAATGGAGAGAATAAGCTTTAGCTGAAATAATCTTTTCAGTATATTGGTAAGTTTTCATTGGAGCTATATCAATATTGTTTATGTTTAATTTAGCCATGTCAGCATTTCCTGCATTTTTATCTTTTCTTTCTGTGAATACAACTGTTGGATTTTTCTTGTTATTTTCAAGGCAAAAATTTATAGCTGCTGTACTGACCGAAGTTGATGATAACATCAACAATCTCCATAAAGTATTTGAAATTTTTTTGCAAATCCTACTGGATCACTGCTCTTCCATAAAGCAGATATATATATATATAATCCTTTTATCATGTGCATTTTGACATGATAGAACTGCTGAATTTGATTATAAAAAAACACATTTCTGAGTAGAAACAGAAATACAACGGGGTGGGATTCAAATTTTTAACAACCGGTTCTGTGGGCGTGGCTTAGGTGGTGGGCATGGCTTGGTGGTCATGTAACTGGGTGGACATGGCTTGGTGGTCATGTTATTGGCTGGGTGTGGCCAATCAATATTACTCACATTGAAGCATGCATCTCCTCGCCTAGCATCTCATAACTGTGGAGATGCTGCAAAAGTTGTAAGTGTGAAAAATGGTCATGAGTCACTTTTTTCAGTGCCATTGTAACTTTGAATGGTCACTCCACACAAGCAAAGTACCAGCAAAGGGGGGGAAAAAACCTCCAGAGATGTTACTGTGACAGGGAGTCTAGTCCTGCCAAGAATGTAATAAGGGTTAACGGAGAGGCAGTTTCTGTAAGCAACACCAGAATGTTTCCTTCCTGCCTTCCTTACAGGATTAGGCCAGTAATTTCTTCTAACAACCAGTTCTCCAAACTGCTTAGAATGTTAACAACCAGTTCTAGTGAATACGTGTGAACTGGTAGAATCCCACCCCTGAAATACACACACACGCATATTGATCATAATTTAGAAAAGACCCAGAGGAAAAGGAAATGAGGGAATAGGCAAATTAAATTGTGCTTTTTGGGAAAAAGTTGTACGCTAAAGACAGGTGAACATGTATATAAAGGTATAATGCGACAGAGTGATGAATTTGATTCACTGAGTGATGGCTCAGTGTTTAAAGACGCTGTGTTTGTCAGTCGAAAAGTTGTCAGCCTGGGTTTGAGTTCCAAGCACTCCCATAAACTTGCCCCAATTCCTGCCCAGCTAGCAGTTGGAAAGCAGGCAAAGAGCAATAGCACTTAGACTTACATACCACTTTATAGTACTTTACAGCCCTCTCAAAGTGGTTTACAGAGTCAGCTATTGCCCCTAACAATTTGGATCCTCATTTTATTCATCTCTGAAGGATGGAAGGCTGAGTCAACCTTGAGCCTGGTGGGATTTGATCTGCCAAATTGCAGTGGGAGTAGCTTGCAGTACTGCACTCTAACCACTGTGCCACCAAGGCTCCATGCAAGTAGATAAATGGGAACTGCTTCAGTGGGAAGGTTACTGCATTTCATACTTCGTGCTGGCCGCATGATAATGGAAAGATCTCTCAGATAACGCAGGTTCCTTTGGCTGAGAATCAGAGATGGTTCACCACCTCCTTGAATCAGTCATGATTGGACAAGGAAAACCTTTAACCTTTATAATCAAGGAATATCCAGCATTGTAGTTTGTCCATTACCTGCAAACCTTTTGTATTTAAGACATTTAAAAAATTATTTTAACTGGACATGATATTAAAATTTATTTTTAGATGTAATAGAAATTCGAACAAAAAGCTTTGTGAATTCCAGATATTAGTTCTAATCACAGGATGTTTCAAGGGAAGAAGGATTCAGATGCCACAAAAGGATGCTGCAGACAATTCCTAGAAACAGTAGTGTCTATTCCAGTTGATATGAACACCACCATACAGAAAATTGCAATATGAAAGCCTATATAACTTGAAGGGATATTTTATATAGCATAAAGTGGCCGTTAATTTGAGCAGAATGGTGTGATAACACAAACCAATTAAAAGAGTGATCAGTGGCAATTAAAAAATGTCCTAACATGATTATTTACATTTTAGTATAATTATTAGCATAAGTAAATACAGTTTGTTGAATGTGTTGCATATATTTACCCTATTCTTTAATGCAATTGGTATGTTCAGATTTATTTTGGGTAGGTTGTTTATATTTGTAGGAAAATAAACTGCTAGGTGACAATGTAATCTGTAGCTATAATTACTTAGTTGGTCATTCATGTAACCTTTTTCAGGTCCATATTTAAACCTTTTATCTTTGTGGATGGTGTGAAAACAGTACCTAAAGTTCAATCACCCATTTTTGGTAGTGAAGATCCCGCGAAAAAAATTCCTCGGTTTCAAGAGAAACCTGATCGCAGACATGAACTATACAAGGTGCACCAGCAGGCTCGATTAGTCTTAGACAGTGATGAGGTAAGGCTTTCAATTGGATTTTAGAATATTAATTATTATTATTAAACTGATTTATTGTATTGTTCAGTACTCCAGGCTTGTATCTTTAAAACAGTTCTCTTATACTTGTATAAAATATATTAAGGTTGTTCCCCCTTTATTTCTGATTGCTTCTTTGCATACTTACGGTACAGCTTAATTCTATATTATACATGTTGATGTTTTTGTAATCAGGAGGCATACCGTGTAATGGGAGAAAAGTAACTTTCCACACGTAGTTAGAAACTGAATATTATTTGCTATAATTGCTGTTTTCTTATACTTAACAATATTACCTTCAATTGCATTTTTCCAATGTGCATGTCCGATATAGCACTGCACTCATTTATATTTACTTGTTCAGTGATAGTACAATAGTGCTGAACAAGGATACTTACAATAGGTCCTTGGAGTTGTGGCTGTTGCAGTGTCTCCACGATCACATGATCACAATTCAAATGCTGGGCACTGCCTCACCTATTACAATGTTGCAGTGACCTGCAATCACGTGAAATCATATTTGCAACTTTCACAGCCAACTTCTGACAAGCAAAGCCAATGAGGAAGTGGGCAGGACATCTCACATGGCATTCCTGTGATCATAGGATGCTGAGTTTGCACATTACTTAATTATGGCAACTGAGGCTGCTGGAACTGCTATTGCAAGTTGTCATAGGTGATATGGTATTATATTCTTACAGATATCCCAGTCCCAATTACCAACAGTAAGCAAATATTTATATCTGTATTTATATCTGAAATGCTTACAATAGTATCTTCAGCTACTTTTTTTCAAGTGAACATATGCACTATAGGACATGCGCAGCCATAGAAACTGGATGAATGAATGAATAGCAGTATTGTCAAAAAAGAATTAATATTATAATTGTTCTTCCTAAGATGCCACGAATTTTTTTCTTTTATGATTTTAAATATTATCAATTAAAGGATAATTCATTCCAATGGTAGGAGGAATTTGGAAGTTTTTCAAAGCAAGATGCTTGCTTCCTCATCTCCCCCCCGCCCCGCTCCTTAATTGTAGCTGAAAAAATAGAGAGAGAAATAAGTGGAAAAAATAGAACTTTTCTAGGGGAGCTCCCATTTGTCCTAATCTCTTTCATGGGAAAGTGTTTTGTAATCATTTAAATATGAGTCAGCGGTGTGCAGCAGCAGCTGAAGAAGCTAATACAAATCTTGGTTGTATAAACAGAAGCATAAAATCAAAATCATGTTATATATTATACTGCTTTATAAATCCTTGGTGAGAGCACACCTAGAATACTGCATCCAGTTTGGTTACCACATAACAAAAAAAAGATGTTGAGATTTTGGAAAAAGTGAGGAAAACAGCAACCAAGATGATTAAAGGCCTGAACATTAAAACATATGAAGAACGGTTGCAGGAATTGGGTATGGATAGTCTACAGCAGGGGTCACCAACCATTTGTACCTCAAGGACAACCAAACTCATAACACAGGCAGGGGTGGGATTCAAATTTCTTAACAACCAGTTCTGTGGGTGTGGCCTAATTTGTGGGTGTGCCTAGGTGGTCATGTGACTGGCTGGGCATGTCTTGTATGTAAATATTATACATATTTATATATTGACTTTTTTTATAAAAAAAGAGCAACTTTACCCCAAATCAGGCAAAGCAGGCAGGAAGATTGAGTTGCTCACAGAATCACAGATTCATTCAGAGATCTTTGCCATCAGCTAGCTGAGTCTGTCACATAAAATTTGCTTGCAAATTTACTCACAACACACCATGTATGTACATATTGATTTTTTTATTTAAAAAAGAGCAACTTTTACCCAAAATCAGGCAAAGCAGGCAAGCAGATTGAGTTGCTCACAGAATCACAGATTCATTCAGAGATCTATCTTTCTGCCATCGGCTAGCTGAGTCTGCACTGCTTCAGTCCTAAGGAAAGTTAAAAGCAGAGCCAAAGATTTAAAGATTAGCTAGAAAGCAAGAAATCCATCGATTTCCTGCTTTCTAGCTAATCTAAATCTCCCGGCACAGCAGAACAGCTGATGGTCAGAAAAAGGAAAAATAGCAACTTAGCAGGCAAGTTTGCCAGGTAAGAAGTGAGTGGGCAGGGAGGGTTCCTAGAGGCTATGTGGGTGGCACAGTCTTGTGTTCCTACACAGCCTGGATTAATTGCTTTGCGGTGTGCTCTGGGGGTGACATTTCTCTGCGGACCACCAAAATTTTCTCACAGACCACCAGTGGGCCATGGACCACCAGTTGCTGATCGCTGGTCTAGAGAAAAGGACAACTAGGGGTGATATGATAACAGTTTTCCAATATTTGAGAGGCTGCCACAAAGTCAAGGGAGCAAGAAAGAATGGATGGAAACTAATCAAGAAGAGAAGCAACCTGGAATTAAGGAGAAACTCCATGACAGTGAGAACAATCAACCAGTGGAACAGCTTGCCTTTAGAAATTGTAGGTGCTTTATCACTGGAAGTTTTTAAGAAAATACTAGACAGCCAGTTGTCTGAAATGGTATAGAGTCTCCTGTTGAGCAGGGGGTTGGACTAAAAGATCTCTCTTCCAGCTTTATTTTGACTGAAGTATATTTCTTCCTGTATACTCCAGTCTTCTCTAACCTGTCATCTTCCACGTGTATTTAGTCAGCAACTTTCAGAATTTTGACCATGGAATTCTAGGAATTGAAGTTGTTACACACTTTTCAATAATTCTGAACGTTGCAGAATCTGGAAGTAACCAAGTTAGGAAAGTCTGGATTATAATTTGTCATTAAGTTTTATTATATGTATGGCACAATTCAGTCCTTTTTTGTTTTCTGAGAATTTTTACATGGGTGCATTCATAAGCATTTGTACAAGATGACAGCTTAAATCCTTTTAATCAATATTTCCTATTGGCCTTTGCATTCCTTAGGAAAAAGGTCAGGCATTAAGAAGAATAATGTTAAACCTTGAAAAACAGGGCTTGGAAGCAATGGAAGGCATTCTCTCTAGGTCTGAAATTCTTGATTCTTCAGAAATAGAAGACCTTTTTTATGACTGTGTAGATACAGAAATTAAATTCTTCAAATGAAGTGAGTCTTCTTCATGTTTTTTCCATACATTTATATTTGTATTTCAGCAAATGTTCTTCTAAAAGTAAAGAAGTCAACTTACCAGTAGATGTTCACATTCTTCTCTATCTCCTGAATTTGTGTTTACTTCAAAGCAATTTTTGGCACATATAAGAATAAAAAGCCAGCCTTCAGTACATTGTGGTTATTTTGCTATATGTATATATTTCTGCTGCATTTTAGATTGGCATTTGTAATTTGTAAACTAAGGCTTTTTTTTTTCATTTCAGTGCCCATAGACACTGTTAGCCTTTGCACAAGAACATAGAACTCGTCAAGCCTTGAAAGATAATCTCACCATATTGCCGAATTTGGGAGGAAGTATTTGTCTTTCTAGAGAAACTTTCCTCAGTAGCTGTATCCAGTTAACATCCTTTTTCATTATGTGTTGTCCTGTGTATGTTGTTAAAAGAGAAGATTCACTGATAGGTTCAGTTAGTAGATGCATGCTGGTCAGTGTAATGCTGGGAATTTTGTTTTATTTGGGCGACAAAACTTTAGAAATGAATAATTTTAGAAAAGACCATAGAGATCTCAATGTTGTTTTCAAATTAAACAGGATCTTTTGAGAACTTCCCTTGAAAATATTGATTCACTTTCAAAGGAAAGATGGTCCATTTTATAACTTCTAAATGATATTTTTGAATAGAAAACATGGAAATGTTAAAAAAAGGAAATTCCATTATAAAGGAGATAACTTTCAGCAATGGAATGCCTTCTCACTAATGCTAGTTTGAATGAGAATGAAATCAATTTACACAAACCTTAGAGAAATAGCCCACCTAGTTCTCTATTACACATTATTTCATATTTCTTTGTGCTGCATTCAAAACTTTTTTCCAAAAGTTTGGTTTAGAATGTTCCCAATATTATTGGAAATGTGTTGGGAAGGTTTCAAGTGAGGTAGAATGTTGAGGATACCATCTATCTTCTTTTCTTTAGGCAGCTAATGCCTATTACTACTTTGTCAAATAGCAGCAGTCATTTATAGCTACTTAAATAGAACAGGATCTAATCCAGTAAACAATTATCATTGTTATATAATTATGAATACAAAGATAGACTAAGATTGAATTTGCACATTTTGATTGACAGATAGTTAATAAGCTCAACATATTTGTATTTGTAGCAACCAAGATTGAGTTAAAATGGCATGTGTGGTAATGACATAACAAACTCCATACTCATGTGCTTGTATCTCATTGTCTGACACAGATAAGTAACAGTTTATCTTTATTTGCCAACAGCTTACAAGATAATAAACATAAGTATAAATACAGGAAATGAATATGAATAATTGGGGCCAATAGGACAGGGACGGTAGGCACGATTGTGCGCTTATACATGACTTTTTGTGTTAAGATGCATATTTTCCTCCATATCCCCAAATGCCTATGTTCACCGATTACATAAAATTAGAGCTACTTTCTTAAAGCAATTGAAAGTGAAAGTGTCCTCCAGGTTTTTGCACCCTGAATCCATTCTCTTTATGTAACTTGCTTATTGTCCATGCATCCAAATAACATTGGGCATTATTAAATACTTACCAAGTTCATCTTGGCCATCAGCAAGTTATTCCTCCTACTGTTGCTTTCTTAATGAAAGGTATAGAAGAAAGTGACTGTGCAGGTGAAGCCATCAGGCAGTGACAGGTGATTCTAGTCTCAAAACTATGGTGCTAATCCTATAATTCAAAACACCAGGATTCTAATATTATAGACATTTCCAACTATCAACTTCCAACTAAACTGTTGTAATCAGATCACAAATGTTGTTTATATTGTTCTTAACTTGGAACACTCATAAAACAAATGTCAAGAATGTCATTAATCACACAGATTCATAAGGTAAACAATAGTTTTAAAAATCATGCAGGAAGATAAGGAAAGTATTTTTCCACTGTACAAGGAATTGATTCCAAAGGGCCAGACTTTTTTCTAGTTCTTTCAATATATCTTGTCACTATGGAGATCTACAGACTTTCCTTAGTCAAGCAATTTTTCTTATTTGGACAGTTTACACAGCAAACAGCTATTTTTTTATGGCTTAAAATTTCAAAAAATAATGGTATCAAAAGGCAGCTGAAAAAGGGAAAAATATAATGTAAATGCATTGATTTGTGGACATTTTCTGTAAAATTCCAAATGTTCCAGCTATCCTACAAGATTTGACCATGCTCTCTTCCTGAGGATATGTTGGAATGTATAATACCTGACTAAAGCAGAATTAGTACATTTTAGGTATTTCTTGTAGGAAGTTGCTATCAGGAGTTTGTTGTCATTTGGTATATATGTATTAGACATTTATGATTGACCAAATTAATAAATTATTTCTGCACTGAAAGTATGTCTGAGTATTAAATATTTTAATATTATTCACTGAAATGCATTAGAGGTGTTTTTTTTTCTTTTTTCCAGTAAGAAATAAAATTGTGAAAACAAATAAATGTAAAAATTAGTTATTTTTGGAAGTTACTAAATCATATTATATTACATCATAGTTATATTGATTAGACACCACCATTCCATGTCTTATTTTTAAATATAAGGACTGAATGAGTAAATAGTGTCTTTTCATTTTCTTTGCTACAGGAAAGTCTCATTTCTTCCCCTTCTTTATTCCAGAAATAAGTTGTGCAAAAGGAAAAGCAACAGCTCTCATCCAGGAGAGACTTGCTTAGCTCTAACATTTTGTGCATATAGTTTCTAGTCGCTTTCACATTAAGCAGCCAAAGAGCTATTGCTGAAAGTAGACATACAAAACTAGCTGAAACAGCTACTGCAGTCCTATGGTTCCACCAGTAAGAGTAAGGTAGAAATGCAAATACAGTCTGGGTTTCCCTTTCCTCCTCAAACAACTTCTCTAAGCAAATTATCCTCAAACAAATCTGTACACTGTATTACACTGCAACATATGCATGACCAAAGGCTGCCGATATTGCAAGAATGAAACAGTCTATGATAGCTAGCTTTGCAAGAATGCTAAGCCATAATTCAGTTAAAAAAAAAAAACATTGTCTCTTCTGTTCAGAAATGCTCCCCTACCCCCACTGTTGTTCTTCCTGTTGCTTTTTGTGGAAAGCAAAATTGTGTGAGATAGGAAGCTATGTTTTCCTTATTCCCATTAGTTTGGTTCTTAAACTTTCCTTCCCATTCCTTTTCAAGTTGCATTTAAGTACGAGGGCGATCCACAAAATAGATTACGTTTTCGTCTGTAGCAAGAAGGGGCGAAGCTAGTGCGTCCATCTTTGGTCTGTGCATCCGCCGCTCAGTCTGCATCTAGTCGTGCTAGTGGGAGGTGCGTATCGTTGCCCATTATTTCACAGCAAACGTTTGAAATGTGTGCTGCAATTGAAAATCCCACGAGTTGTGAGGTGCGATCAGTGATAAGGTTTTTGTTGGCAAAAAACCATAAACCAATTGAAATTTTAATTGAAAAATTGAAAAACTAAGAAAAGCAATTCAGAACAAGTGTAGAGGAAAGTTAAGCTCAAAAATTTTGTTCCAAGCCAGGTCTTCATCCTTGGAAACAAGTGGTAGTCGCTTGGTGCAAGATCGGGGCTGAAGGGCGGATGAGGAAAAATCTCCCACTTGAAAGCATTCAGGATTTCTCGAGTGCGACTTGCTGTGTGTGGTCGGGCATTGTCATGCAAAAACAAAAATTTTGAGCTTAACTTTCCTCTACGCTTGGTCTGAATTGCTTTTCTTAGTTTTTCAATTTTTCAATCAAAATTTCAATCGGTTTATGGTTTTTTGCCAACAAAAACCTTATCACTGATCGCACCTCACAACTCGCGGGATTTTCAATTGCAGCACACATTTCAAACGTTTGCTGTGAAATAACGGGCAATGATACGAACCTCCCACTAGCACGACTAGATGCATACTGAGCGGCAGCGCACAGACCAAAGATGGCCACGCTAGCTCCGCCCCTTCTTGCTACAGACGAAAACGTAATCTATTTTGTGGATAGCCCTCGTATATACAGCATGTTATTTAGAGCCCAACTGTATAGCAGCTAGTTGAAGACTTCAGATGCTTCCTAAATAAGATATATTCCTTTACTCCATGCTCCAGTTCAAGTATTCTTTCTACTGGTAGGCTGTGTGTCGACGCCTAATTCAGAAGAATTTTGTCACTGAAGCCACTTATTGGAGAGTGAGAGACGGGAAAATATCTTTCTACTCTGCTCTGTAGAGGCAAGTGGTGGTGCAGGCATGTTTTGGCCTTCTACTCAAAAATAAGATAGCCTGAGATATAGGAACTTGCTTTTTATATTCAAAGTAGATCTTGTATTTTAGATCTTTTTCTGTTTTTGTGCATTTTTAATCCTTCTGACAGACAGAGGCATCAAATGGGCCAGCTTTCACAGGATCACAGAGGGATTGCTAATACAAGTCCTCACTTAACATTTAGCGACCTTTGAATGTTATGATGGCACTGAAAAAAACCCACCAGTCCTTGCACTTATGATCACTGATTATGGCCATGTGATTCTGATTCAGGCAGTTGGCCGTAGTGTCACATTTACAACGGTTGCAAGTAGTTGTGGTCATGTCATGATTGTTTGCTACAATCCCAAGAGGCTTCTGACACCAAAGTCAATGGGGAAGCCAGCAGAAGGTTGCAAGTCATAGTCACATGATATCCTCCTTAAGAATTGCAAGTAATTTGCTTAATGATGTGACAGAAAAGGTTATAAAATCGGGTACAGTCACGTGATGGCTCACTTAACAACCATACTGCTAAATGACACCTTTTCCAATCCCTATTGTGCCTGCAAGTTCAAGATTACATGTAACAACATTTTATGTTCTTAGGCTGATGAGCTTTAGAAGAAGTTAATGGAAAATGTTTTGTTTGCATTCTTCTTGCTTGGAGTATATTTGTGTCTATATGTGACATTCTTTTGAAAATGTTATACATCTGCACCACTGAAAAGCTACGATATATCCAAGAAAACAAAAGAGAAGACTTGCCAGGAATTTATATATGATATAATGTAAATCAGTAAATCAAATTTGGAAATCATGAATTAATTACAACAGAAACTCCATGGGAAACTGGACTGCATACAGTACAGGCAATCAATTTTACTTTACCAAAATATACCATATAAGAATGAACAGCTATGTAAATTACAATACTCGATAGCATTTAAAAATAAAATTCAGGCCAGCTTTAAAGCAATTTAAATCAAAATACATTATGTTGCAACTTTTTAAAATAAATGAACATGCACTCTCATTCTGGCCCATCTGCATCCAGCAGTCTTTTAAGTGCCATATTTGCCTGTACATATCACATGACTAACAAAAATATGCCCTACATTTTATACTGTTGAATATTTTTTTGAATACCCTTCAATTGTTGACCTCATCTTGCTTGCGTTCGTAAAGGGGGGTTGCTTGCTTTATCTGGAAAAGGAAAGGGTATGTTCCATGACACTATCTATGACACTTATCAATATCTTTCTCCAATAATCTAGAGTTTGAGCCATAAATCTGAAAGAACTATCAAAACAAATGTATAAACTACTTAGGTCAGTTGAAAACCTTCATAATACCTCTGAATTCAACTAAGATGCATGTGTAGGCATATATGTGTAGTTTGCACACACAATTCTCAAATCAGCAATTTAATCTATATAGAGGATTAAGAAATACATAGGACTTAAGATAGCAATTTCCCAATATGTACAGGTAGTCTTTGACCTACAATAACAACTCAGCGCAATTTTCCATTGCTAAGCAAGGCAGTTAAGTGAATTTTGTCCCATTTTACAAGTGGTTTTGCCTCTGCCTTTTTAAGCAAATCACTCCAATTATTTAGTGAGAGTGGTCATCCAATTTTCCCCATTGACTTTGCCTGTTGAAAGAGGGCTGGGAAGTTACAAATAGTGATCACGTGATCCTGGGACAGTGCAGCTGTCATAAATATATGCCAGTTGCTAACAGCCTGAATTTTGATCACATGACAATGTGGATGCTGCAATGGTCATGTTAAAAAAAGTCATAAGAAACTTTTTTCAGAGCCATTGCAACTTTTAAACAAAGTTGCTAAATCAATGGTTGTATGTCAAGGATCACCTGTAATGTGTTTCTTATCCAACTAAAATTAGCAATCTACACAAAGGACATGGCTTATTCAGAACGTCTAACTTAGTAGTTGGTAGTCAACAGTGTACCATGGACTCTACTGTGCTTACACTAATGATTCCCTCAAAATCCCCAATTTTTTTTTTTACCTCCTCTGTCATTTCTTAAAAGATTTATTTTTTTAAAGAACTATTTTAAAAATGTTTATGTCTATTTTTAAGAAGTGAAAGCTAGCATGCTTCAAAAGCTACCAGCTTCTAGCATGATATTTACTTGCCTTTGGATCATGGCAGAATCCTATTGAGATTAGTTCAGTACACAAAAGCTTCATTTACATTTGTTTAACTTTTCTCCTTTTAAATGAATATGTGAAACAATTATAGTTTTAATTAGAACAATTACATATATGTATATTTTCTTTTTAGTCAGGTTGTCTGCTGGTGATTGCTTGGATAACTCCAAGTCTTTTTGGCAAGGTTTTTCAGAAGTAGTTTGCTATTGCTTTGTTCCTAGGCTTAAGAGAAAATGACTGCCCCAAGGTCACCCAGCTAGCTTTTACGTAATTATACTTAACCATTGCATCAAACTGGCTGAGTAATTATGTACATATACATATGTAAAATAAAACCACATGTATGTATATAATTGTTCTAATAATAATTTCCTTCTGGTAAATGATTATTTGTGATCGGCTGTGTTTACTGTGAAAGTCATAATCTCAGTGCATCAAATTTCTATCCTTTAGTTACTCCATGCCATATACTGAAACCAGTTTTGAATCAAAGTAAACAAATCACTTTATGATGATGTTTCTCAGCCTGAGCAACTTTAAGCTATATGGACTTCAATTCCCCAGCCAACTGATGTCTCATGTAGATGAGACAATGAAGCATAAATAGCACTGGGCAAGGCTTATAGATAATAGGTATGGAGAACTATCATTCTTTTTAGAGATGTGCTACATTCAAAGGCAATTAATTTGTCAAAAACAGCAAAAACAAGTTTTAATGACTTTGAGATTGTTCTCAAGATGAGAGAGGACAAAGGGGTCCATGGTATAATCTTAATGTTTTAGATGACGCTGACAAAAGACATGCCACAGGGGCACATGGGCACTATGTACATAACACAAATTATGGGTACCAATGGGGACTCCTGTGATGTTTTTGAAAATCAACAGATATTTCTCTTCAGTGGCAGCACTGTTGCATGCATAACACTGAGAAAGCCTAGAACTCTCATAACTAGAGGGCAAAGATGAATGATAGCCCCTGTTTGGAAAGCATTTCAGATCATATTGAGGTAGAAATGTTGACTTACTTCTCGCTTCTTGGCTAGGATAAATTTTCTTAAAAGGCTTGAACTCCTCTGGCGGGGGAAAGTCTTCCATGGAATGGAAAGTGAATTTCGATTCAAAATCATCTGGAAAGAGTTTAATTTTTTAAAAAATCATGCTGAATTATAATAAGCAAAGTAACAAGTATGTACTACCGGTACATATATACCCATTATGGAATATAAAACAGAAGCACAATAAAATAATCCATCCAGTATATTCTCAATTCAGTTGCACTGTTTTATCATATTTTTTAAAATTCCATACACTTTGCTTAAAGTTCCTTGTTTAGCCTCATTCACTTCCACCAATTCTGAAGATATTAGAACTGCAGTACTCGCTCACCAACTTCTCTTTTGTATCTTACTGTTTCACTTTAAAAGATTAAATCCTATGATAGATCAGTTTAGTAAAATATTCAAGTAGTTTTCTTTGGAAAAATACTGAAATGATTTGGCAGTATTTTCTTATAAATAATGATAATAGTTGATCCTGGAGTTTTCCCCTATGTATGTCGCTAACTACTAATGCCTCTGCCTTTAAAATTCCTATATAAATGTCCATTTGTCTCTAAAAAAGTTCAAATTGATATTCAAAAGTTCAAAATGCCCCCCAGCAGCTCATGACCATTCACAAATATGATGGTAATTAAAAACGTCATTTTCTAACCAATGTTTGCATTATAACTAAAGGTTGTGTGCTTGATAACGCATATCAGAATAAGAATAATGCTGGTGTAACTGTACAGAAGAACCTTGACTGAATCAGGGAGCAGCAACCAATGATTTGTAACGTCTGCCTGCCTGTCTCCCTCCCTCCTTGTCTCACTATGGGTTCACTTAGCGACCATTTTGCTTAATAACTTGGTAGTTGGAACAGATTTTAGTCACTAAACAAAGGATGAGTGCATACTCTGACTTTCTTGAGCAGTTTGCATTACCATTCCCAAACAGGTCCTAATTTTAAAAAGCTTTCATAGATTGATAAGTCTGTAACCTTGTGATAAGAAAAGTTCTATGTTTTTGTATATACAATACTTGTCAACAGTAAATGACACAGTGCTATCTGTATAATACCTGGGTCTTGAGTAGCCGGTGGCCACGGAGATACTTGGGTGACTTGGCATTTGCTTGTGAGCTCAGTTGTGGGAGACCTTGCAGGAGGAACAGGTGGCGGCATCAACTTTGCTAAGAAGAATAAACATGCAAAAAAGAATAGAGTGATATTTGCATTCTTACCCCTCATTCTTGTTCCAAAAAGTTGAAGCAAAATGTGCATACATATTTTCTATTCATCCTCAGAATTAGCAGTGTAATTAGTCACAATTAACCAATGTGGGATTGCTGCCAGCACTCCCATCTTGTCCAGCATGCTTTTTTTTGTAGTTCCCCATATTTATTCTGTTCAAATCATCAGATTCAGTGAGGTATCAGCACTTTTAAACACAATTACTTAAGTGAAACTTATTTTGGCCTATGGGCAGAGAAAACCTTGAGCAATTTGTCGGAGCAAGGGTGTCAAACTTGCATCATCACCGCGACATCACGTGACATATCGTGACTTTTTTCCCCCTTCGCTAAACCAGGTGTGGGAATGTCCAGTGCATAATGCATCTGGGCTGCGGGCCACGAGTTTGACAGCCCTGTTAGAGGCTGTATGTTTAGTCAGCCTTGCAACCCAAGCAGGCATGTAGTCCTCCAAGGACAAGAGAGAGATTGTAGTTACATTCTAAAGCAATTTCTGTGTTGCACAATGTACAACACTAAGGATTCCAATCAGCTTCAGCTTTAAGTGTTTATAGAAAGGACATCCATACCCAATGCAAGTTATATTCCACAGGACGTAATCCAATAGGCATGCCACTGAAAGTAGTTACCTCCACCTCTTCTCCTTTTCTGCATTGCAGGAGCTTGCTGTGTGCTTGGAGGAGTAGGGGGAAGAGACACTGATTGAATGGGGAGCTTTTGCAACTGGCTCTTGGGAGGCATTAGGGGAGCAGAATTGCTGCTGCTGTTTGAGGCACTGTTATAGGTTGGTGATTGTGGTGAAAACATTGAGGTTCGGGGTGAAGAAAAAGTAGACATAGGTCCTGGGAGAGGTGGTGGTGGTGGTGGTGGTGGTGGCGGTATGGGGGGAGAATTATGTTTTAGGTCCAGCTGGGAGGAACTTGGGCTGGAACATTCATTACTTTTGCCTGGAATCCCATAGGGAGATGATGGAGACAAGGGTAATGGTGGTGCAGGTGGTATGTACAATGGGGAGGTGTGGCTTTTAGAAGTTCTAATCTGAGAGGATGCAGCATCAGCAGCAGCCATGTCTGGGGAAGAGAACTTATTAGGATATTCAGAATGAGGAGGTGGTACAGGGGGCGGAGGAGGAAAGTAAAGTGATGGCTTGCCAGAGGGAGGTGGTAATGGTGGTGGAGGAGGTGGAGGAGATGGTACTGAACTAGGAGGAGGAGGAGCAGGGATGCTGGGGTGAGCTGGGATAGCATGGATCTGAGATGCTTCTGACTCATCTGCTTGAGTAGGGCCACTTGGGAAGATCTGAAAGTTGCCACCGGACTTCCCATTATTGTTCAGTGGGACTGGGGCTGTTTTGGCAATAGGTGGCTTTCCAGTCCTATTCACTGAGAAAAGGAAGCAAGAATAAATAAATCACTCTTCATTTTGAAAACTGCATTCAACAATTCATCCTTTGAATAGTCTAAATTATTCTCATTGTAACTAAATCTATATAATTCATCCAGATTATTAGATTCAAATGAAGAAAACAAGAGGATTTAAAAAAAATAACTCAACTTCTTAATTGGTTGTCCTACTATCAATTAGCTATTGCAATCCTGCCAATTCATTTTCAGAGATTACAGATCCTGCAGTTCCATTATTCCAGGAATCAGAAGGATCTAAATTTTGCTACATTCTGTTGCCAGCCAAAAAACCAAACTAAAATAGTTCTGTAGAAAGAAGGAATTGTTCCTGCACATCTCAATTACAGAGGTGAGAGGAATGTCTCCAGGCAACAGCTACACTCTGATGGATTCAGGAACCGCTGTCTTTCCACACAGCATTGTAGCTTAACAATCTACTGTGCCTGAAATCTGTTTTTTCTCTCACTTGCTTGATTTGATAGTTTAACTCTGATTTCCCTGTCTTGCTGACAAACAATGTTTATAAGACCAAGAGAAGGTCTTGGTCACTTTTATTACTTTAAGTTGCATTATCCTTGGCTATACTAGAAAAACATTCAGAAATAATAGCTAGCATGAATCATAGCAGCTGGCTTGATTATACTGGCATGATAGCTAGCATGATTATTAATTGGCTTGATTATACTGACTAGATTATGAAACAGCACATTGTTTAAAGGCCTTGAGGTTTTTGAGTTAATTTATTGTGCAAGGCAAAAATGATGGCCAAAAGAATCCTAATATAACAAAATATGAGAACAAATATTGCAAATAATGGGAAGAATATGCATGTTTTTTGTTAATGCAAACATAAATACTATGCAATAACCAATTTGTACTCAGACAATAAATAGCAAAGTGATTTTGCATTTTATGCAATTGACAGATTCCAAGAAAACTTTCTATAAGTATAGCTAACATACTACAAGATCAGCTCTTATTTGCACTCCAAATCTTCCAGTCTTTTTTGAATATTAATTTTATATACAAAAGTACAAATTAGCATGTCCTAACTTACATCACAAAGAAATATTCTGATTTTTTTTTCCGTTGAGACTCCATTGCAAACTGGATTCTTTACCTGCTAAGTCTCTTTGGCCTACTGGTCTCAGAACAGGGAATCCTTCTGCAAAAAGGTTCCCTAATGCCTGAGGTATTTCACTGCTGCAATTTCCAGGGCTTCCTCCATCTTTGCTGGGCTTTCTTCTATCAGCTGTGAAGGAGGAGGAGAAGGAGGAGGGGTATTATTTCAGCTTTTGGTTTTTCTGCTCTTTTTCTTTTGGCATAAAATGAGCAGAGGCTAATTGCTGTGTACATACAACACAGTGATGGTTAAACAAATTATAACTGGCATGATTCAGCTAGTAAGCATGATTAGCATATGTTGTGGCTGGATTCACATAATACACTAAGCCAGAAAAAAATGTTTTTAATATATAACTAAATGCTAAATATATAACTGAGCAAACTGTATTATGGCTTAGTTCTGATGTGAAATCTCTATGTCTTACAATTATTAATATAACAAAAAGCAGTATTTTCTGCTGCATATATTAAGACAGAAATATTCACTGCAATCTTGATAATATAACTGTGCATATATATTATTATTTAAAAGAGGAACTTAGATGTTACCACTTAGGTCAATCAATACATTACATGCTGGGATTAAAATATTTTACTTTTTTGCTTCTTTATTCCACTGCTTCCTCTTTACCTTGTTAATTTTAAAGTTTTTATCTTACTGCAATTTTCCTTACTTATTTTGTCTGGAAGGTATTAAATTAACTGGGAAACATTTGATTTTTTTTAACATAGAAAACTGTCAGTTTATTTCCCTTGTGAAAGGTATGAATGAATAACTGACAAGTCTTCAGAATGGCTGAAAAAAGAAAGGAGGAGGAGGAATTAAGAATGGATTTAAGAATGAATCCAAAATACAGCATGAATCTAAAATATAAAATACTGTATATGGGATAATTGGAAGACTTGAAAATTATTCCTCTAATTAATATGGTAAAAAGTTCAGCATATTGAAGAAAAATATTAGTTTGATAAGATTCATTTTCAAATAATCAGGCCAATATAAGAAACTTTCATCAGAAAAATGAAAGTGAGTCATTAAAACAATTTCGCAATCAAATAAAAAGGTTTCTGCCAAAAAAGGGCTTTTAATGCAAAAATTACTGAGTGGCCATTGGAGCACGTCCATCAACAGAAAACTTACTGTCCAACTGTGGAGCACTGCGATCATTGGTTTGGGTTACTCTTCTCAGTCGAGTCCCTCTTTGGATCTCATGTAATAAAGCACTTCGACTTTTGGATTCCTCCCTTTTCACTTTGGGTGGTTCTGTGTTTGTCTGTCAGAACAACAGGTTAAAATTCCAGACATCAGGGGGGACAATGACAGGGAGAAGTATCTAGCAACATTTGGTTGCTTGATGATCACCACACTGCATACTCTCCATTTGAAGTTTGATAGTCAACACCAGCATCTTAAAACATGGGCCAGAAATTGTATTTGTTAGATGTACTTTATGTTTGCCTCCAGGAATTCAGAGTATACTATTCTCTCCTCCAGCTTTTTCTCATAACAAAGCTGAGAGAGTCGGAGCTCCTCTGACTAAGGATAGATTGCAAGCTGAAGTTTCCTGGTTATAGTTCTCCTCCTTAAACCCTACACCATATTGGATTTCCCTAATTGGTCACCAGTGCCAATCTTTTAACACTTAAGAGATGTTGGTATCTACTATTTTGAATTACAATTCTGTTAGCCAAATTTACTAGGCATTTCTTCAAGATAATATAGTGCTTCCATCACTATCATGGTCCTTGGTCTACTTGAATTTTTACAGGTTCTTTCATTAAAAACATTGCTTTCTGGTAAGTGATTGACAACTGGAACATGCTGATCACAAGTTCTTTTAACTGAAGATATTACAAATTGCAAATGCAGTATGAATTATTTTCATTTAAAAGCACTTTTTCCATTTCAGCTTATAATCACAGACAATTGTACTGATGAACATACTAGTAAAGCCAAAATTAACAATTTATTTTTTCTTGAGAATCTCAATTGTTTTTTTATTTTTTTTATTCAATGGAGAAGATAGTTGAAAATACATCATCATATCAGTTTGGAGTCAAAGCAACTGAAATACATCCACAAAACATGATTAGGATCAGGCAAAGGGATAACTTGCATTTGTTTCCTTTATCCCACACTGAAGCACTTTACTAGGGAATTCTATTCAGATATAATCAAACTTACATTTTAAAGATCTCCCTTCGGCAGCATTCAAATAAAATAATTGTTATACCATCTAATCATTTTTTATTTCTTGTGATTGGGTATGGCAGTTTTTTTAAAAAGGGATTTGCCATTGCCTTCTTTCTAAGAACTGAGAGAAGAAATGGCTGAAAGTCACCCAACTGATTTCATGCTGATACAACTCACGGTCTTTTGGTTTCTAGCTGTAAGCTCTGATTACTACACAAAAATCGTACAACAGTTAAACTTTTGGGCTTGGACGTCATCCCCAAATAATGAAGTCTGTTGTTTCCAAAGCAATCAAGATAATTGGTGGACTTGATATCATATAACTTAAAGTCAATTTGCATTTTATGGACAATCTCCAAAAGACATCTTTGGATTGTAAATTAGAAACAAGGAAGGGGGAATCAAGTATTCAATGGTAGGGCAAATGTGTTGGAATTGCAGCTTCTAGAGTAATGTAATTACAATCCTAATTAAATCTGCAGAGCACCAAGTTGAGAAAAATTGGATTATACTTTAAATTTTTAATGAAATGTAATGCCATTCAAAATAAGGTTGTCTCATAATAAAATATAAAAATAACAAAATATAATAATCTGACCTGGAAGCACCTTTGACTTGGAGTGAGACTGGCAGATCTGCCTATATAGAAACTTTATACATCACCAGAATCCATTTGAAAGTTAACCTAGATGAAGTTTTTCCCTTAATTCTGCTATGACCATTTTGTATTACATGAAAAAATGTATTGGGTGTTTGCTTTGATATTAAAGTGATGGGCACATCTACTCATATAAGGAACATTTACACAAGGAATTTTATTTTAGTTTTATCTTAGCAGAATTATTATACCCAGACAGAAATCTAGTGACAGTTAAAACATGTGTAAGAGACAAATAAAATATGGTTTTCCCCATTTAAAATGAAAAGTTAAACTTACAACCTTTCCAATAAAGAAAAAAAAGCTCAAGTGCTACTTCCCACTTTTGATCTGTGTCTCAAAACGGTTTCCTTTCTCTACAACAAGCAATCAGTTAGAAAGGACTGCATGTAATGGTGGATTTTCTGATTTCATGTGAACAATGTGTGTTAAGAAAAATTCCTGGTGAAAATGTTTGGCTCCCCCCCCCTACTTTTTGGACATCACTGTGTAATAGGATACCATCTATCAGTCAAGATAGTAATAAGGGGAGGAGAATGGAAGGGATGGGCTTTAGGAAGTGATAAGTAGTAACAAGTAACTCTCCCCCTCTCACATTGTACACTTTCTTTGCCAAATCAGGAAAGTACTCCCATCAGACAGATGAAGCAGGTGAACAAGGTCTTGAAAGACATGGGAAGCCCACCCATTCACCCACCCGCCACAACCCACCAATCAATAGACTGAAATAAATGATTAAGTATATGGAAGTGAATCTCCTGCATTAACAAGTAACTTTGCTGGTCCAATAGACACAAGTTCAATGGATTTATTTTGACGGTTCAAAAAGCACCAAACTTGTACTCAGTCAGTAACTGTGCCCAATTCCTTTTACCCAGATGAAAGGAAAATAAAATGGCAGCAGAGGGGAATGGAACTCAGGATGGAATGTGTCTGTAGAAACCTGAAATATTCAATCAGCATTGGGCTACCTCCACCCCTTAAGATAGTCTAACTGTACTGAGTCAGCAAAGCATGTCAGATACCTGGTTTGAAAGTTAAGAAGAAAATGCTACTCTCTAAAACTAAAATGGCCAAAGATGCAAGCTGAGAACATGATACAGGCAAATCCTGGGGATATGGAAGAATAAAGAGGTTGTCAGGCCATGTTCACATGATAATTAGATGCAAGTGAGGAAAGGTTTTCAAGTTGTTTCAGTTCTGAAATAAGCAAGACATGCTCCTGTAAACATATGTAAAGCTCTTATCTCTCACGGTTCAATAACTTACTTCTTGCACAATGGAAAGGAAGGAAATCTGCTAGAGATTAAATCTGCTAGAGAACAATCAACCAATGGAACAGCTTGCCCTCGGAAGTTGTGGAAGCATCATCACTTGAGACCTTCAAGAGAGATTGGACTGCCATTTGTCAGAAATTGTAGGGTAGGGGTCTCCTGCTTGAGCAGGGGGTTGGACTACATGACCTATAAGGTCCCTTCCAACTTTGATTACCTGTTATCTGTTTTAATCCTTGTTTTAGAAATTAAGCAGCACCATACATTACTAGAATAGAGAATTACTGGTGAATGCTGTCCTAAATGGGCAAGTAAGATTTTGGAAGAGTTTCACATTAAATACTGAATTTATTTTTGAACAGTCATACATCATATTTGCCTTTCAGTGTAATTATTTTTAATTGTTCATCAACAGTCAATTAGCTTTTGCTAGGACTTTCATTTTGGTTGTTCTGTGACATTTCCAATTTGCAGTTATTCTGCCTAAAAACATACCTAATAAAAGCAGAAATGTTTGAGAACATTCAAGAAATAATTTGGTTTTCAACTTTTGCATGCTATGATAATCACAAGAGAGAGGGCAAAAGCATATTTAAAGGGTAATAAGGTTAGTAGTGCCTTTTATGTTAGAGTATAATAGGGAGAACAATTTAGAGTCCACAGGCTGTAGCTAATCATCAGATTCCTTTTTTCTGCAACTCACAAACATAATACAATATATGCAAAATTAAATCAAAATTCAGATTGTCATGCTACTATCATACTGTATCTGTGCTATTCCCTCTTTAACATAATCTCTGAATGCCATCCTATTTTTATATATACCTAACTTTAAATTATAGTTGACTAAAAATCTGAAACATAATGAAAAGGTCACATATTATTTTTGCCTGTTCATGCATAAAACACACAGACCCTATTTAGTATATAAACACTGTAAGTATTTTAAATGGTTAGCCACAAATTTTCCTTCTCTCTACCAGAAATATAGTGTTAGCTCTTCTAGATGGCACATTCAGGTGGGGTAATATTGGCACCAGAAGATTTCCTGGGGGATGATGTAAAATCTTATTAATAGCTTCTATTCTTATGACTACATTTGTTGCCAAAAAGAGGGTCATTTTGAAATGCTGTCTGATAAATTAACCTACATAACTCACCTTCAAATTCCTTGATACATTTCTGTTTCACACACATAGATATATACTGTTTTCAAAAGCTGAATGTTCTATGTTCAAATGCTGTTACAGCACACATTACAGTGAAATGTATAGCCTTTTCTTTTGGAGAACATCAAGCAATACTTACTGTGAAGAACTGAAGAAACATAACTTTAAAAGGTCCTTATTTTCAAATCATCCCTTTAAATTCTGATTCCAGCAGCTTTCCTGGTAGTTTTGCTGTAACTCTGCTATTAGACTAGGGCCACTCCTGGGCAAACTCTTGGTTTAAATTTAGAACCAACAGCTGTGGGGTTTGTTTTTCATTCATATGCCCACAAGTTGTGTCATATGGATGTACTACACAGTAGTTATTTTTTCTCCTCATAAGAATACCATTTGTTGGAATGCGACAAGGGGGAAAATAGGAGTAGAAAAAAAATCTTAATGTATCATTTTATTTTTAAATCAGAATTAGTACACACACACACAAACACACATCATTGAAATATATTTACTGTATTTCTATTTATATTATTTCCCCTCCTGATTTTCTTATACCAGACAGTTCTGATGACCAAACATAGGTTCATAGGACTAGAAGGGACCTTGGCAGTCCAGGGGTTTCCAACCTTGGCAACTTTAAGCCTGGAGGACTTCAACTCCCAGAATTGGCTAGCTGGGGAATTCTGGGAGTTGAAGTCCTCCAGGCTTAAAGTTGCCAAGGTTGGAGACCCCTGTTCTAGTCTAACCCCCTTGTCCAAAGCAAGAGTCCTCATACCATCTTGGACAAATGGCTGCCCATTTTTTTCCTGAAAATTTCAGCAATGGAACACTCACAATACTGGGAGGCAAAAATATTCCATTGCTTAATAATTCTCACTGCCAAGAATTTCCTGCTTAGATATTATCCTAACATGCTTTCACCCATTGCTAGTTTCAGGTAACAAGAGTGAATGCCACATCTCCAGGTAGATTAGCTTGTTCAATGTTTGGCCAAATCTGGTCAGTCATTTGTGTCCTTGAACCTTGTGCTTTCCCCCAACTTTGATTATATATCTATATCCTGCTAAATCATAATTGATTCATAGACTCTTACAACAATATAAGACAGAATAAAACCATTATAACATCAACAGACTGGAATAAAGCAAAACTGCTGTAGATGATACACACGATTGTGATGTTAACCATTACGATCTAAAAAAAGATTGGGAGATGGACACATTAACAGATCACCTTTTACTTATTCCAACATACTCCAAGCATAACAGTGACTTACCAAGTCCTGATGTTTGTTTGCTTGGTAATGGGTAAAAATTTTAACTCCCTAACATACATTGTTGGAATCCTTGGAGGTCTTTTTTAAGCCCTTGTGATTACTGTATATTATTGTTACTTATTAATCCCACTTTAACAGACTTTTATGAACAAAGTATTAGAGGCTAATGTTTTAAAATATGTTGATAGAGTACATTCTTCATTTTTAGGTCCTTCTTGGAGAGAAGTGGAATATAAAAAGTTAAAAATAAACACCTATCAAAAAAACCCCACTTTCTTGATTTCCCCCCTAGAGATCAAAAGGAACAAGAAAGAAAAGGTTACTTCTTTTATTAAAACCCACATATGCCTCTGCAAATAAGAATAAAATTAATCCCCATGACCTTCCTTTATGAAATCAGAACATAAACAGTTGGTAGTCATTTTCTTTGGCAGCCATTAGGGGATATTCTATTATTTCTTATATAAGGAATTCGCGTTAAATAACAAGTACAGTTTTTCTTTTTAAAAAGGATGGAATTACTCATGCATTTAACAGGCTAGATTGTCAGGAGAAAGGACTCAGTAAATCTTTTTTCTTTATCAAACTCAAAAAAATCTTCCCAATATGCCTAAGTGGAGAAATATAAAATCTCATTGAAATGGCAAATAAAGTGTCCAAACCAGAGTTAACAGATGTTAGCTTGGCTTGATTTAGTTTGCATATTTTTGTTGTCAATTCATGTATGTTCTAGAGGTATGAGATGCAGCCAGATTCAATCCATACACTTCTCCACAGTCCTGTTCTTAATATCTAGATTTACCGAGATCAAATAATTGCCACTACATTTATCCCTCACCAAAAATTCTGTATAGATACTAGGGAAAATTAGGCAGTACTTATGGAACTGAATAATAGTTCGGCCTTGCAAACTTCTGCATGGCTAGAGAAGGCCACCTAGTGATATGATGTCACCTTTGGATGGAGCAGAAATGAATTTTTTGGTCCTTTTTTATAATTTATATTAGTGAAGTAAATTTCTTTAAATTTTTAAAAGATTACATTGTGTAAATATATGGAAATAAGATTATCATGAAAATGTGTATAAAAAACAAAGTATCATGAGGAAATTATGCTTATCATCCATTTTGATGGAATGTCAGAGAAGGATAATAACAGTTGATCTACTTGAGGCTTTGTAGATGCAGCCCTGTGAACTAATTCAATTTAGTTTTTTTAAAGGTCATGTATTGTACTGAATAGTGTAGGCAGACCAACTATGTCAATAGTTGAACTTGTGTCTGTTCTTCACCTACGCAGTTCCTACTTTCGCATTTTTGCCTACTGTCTAATTTGACCTGACAAAATGCAAAGTTAACTCTAGACACCTCTGAAAATCACAGAGCAATATATGACTATGCCAAACAATTCATTTCCAGAGGGGTATTTTTTAAATCATATGTGCACACATGTGCACACACACAAACACACACACACAATTTTTCTCCCTGGATTTTTCATCTGAATCTTTATGATCTGTACAATTATTCAGAAAATGAACTGTAGATTTGGCTGCATATGGCTTTTTACATTCTTATTTTTGAAAGGTAATAAAATATGAAAGAGAAAGATATTCTTTGTGAATACATTTGATGAAGTCCATAGATTCTGTAAATGAATAAGACATGGAAACATGTCTGTCATTGTCACAAATTAATGGAGTGCAAACATTGATCTGAGTGTTGTTGTTAGCTGCGAAGTCATGTCTGACCCATCACGATCCCATGGACATTTCTCCAGGCCTTCCTGTCCTCTACCATCCCCTGAAGTCCATTTAAGCTCACGCTGACTGTTTGATCTGAATAGCTTTTTAGTTAATTAACATACTGAGTTAGTCCTTTTAATTCAGTCCTGTTACGTTTCGGATGTGTAGAAAATCCTATCTAAAAAATTCTTGCATTAATATGTATTGTAAAAAGTCTGGGATATTTCCAAGTGGGTCCCCAGAGATTATGTTTGATGATCTCCAAGCATAAGGTAAAGAAAAGTAGGTAGCCACAGAAGTCAATCAATTAATCTAAGGAACCGAGGAAGATTTTGATCAGATAAGATAACCCAAATATCCATTCAGTCTTTGGTCCAAGGGCAATTTTTCCATACCTTGACCTCCTTTCTAATGACTTTTTAAAATGTTTAGGTATATTTAAAGTCCAGCTCCAGTCCAAATAGAGGATGATTTAAAATTATCTGCACATGACTTTGCAATGCTAACTTGAATCCTTGCTTTGCTCTTTTTGGCTTTCTTTCCTTTGATTTCTGCCTTAATATTTAAATTCTGTCCACTGTAGACCAGATTCCTGCCTCTGGCTTGGTAAGCATCACCTGATTGCTTAATCTCAGAGCTTAATTGATATCTATCCATTTATTGACCTGAAATCCATCCAAGCGAAAAAGTTTTTTTTTAAAGATAAACTATTTCTAAAGCTAGTGAACCTAAATAGATTAACAAAAAGTATTTCTGTAATTTGTGAAAAGTGAAAAACAAAACAAAAAAACATTTTTATTCTTATACCTGTATTAGAAAGACCAGATTGTATGCATCAAGTGTAAATATATGGAGGTTTTCTTAAGTGACAGAGTTTGTCTGGTTTTGGAGTATCACAATAATTTTTGTATTTAGAAAAGGAATGAGATGAAAGTATACTGGATTAATAGTATACCTGATGAATATAACACATTTAAGATCAGAAGGTGAACTATAAACTATATTACAGAATGCAGCAATCATAATAAACAAAACTGTATAAACAAAATATTATAAAAGTAAAATCCAAGCAACTAAAATCAACTAAGCAAATAAAAAGAATTGCATGATACTTTAACTAAAAAAAGAAAATATAAATATTTACTTAATGAATACATGTATCCATTTTCAAGAATAAACTATTTCTATTTTTCTTTTTAAAAAAATGCATTTAAAATGCAGCTATTGAGAAAGCTCCAGCATTTTAGATTTTGTAACTAGTATTAGTTTCCTTTATGCAGTTTTAAAGTATGTTTAAATGTACAGTAGTATTACCATTAAAATTTTCCAGAAAGCAAGCTCAACTCCTATTAATGTCCAAAGAAGTTTTTTTCAACTTTGGATCTTAGAACCTCTGATTTCACAGTGTCCTCCATCTAAATACTAAATCAGATCTGATACTAACTGGCCTCCCCCCCTCCCCCCCAAGATCAGCTAAACCTAGTTAGGTGCTGCCACCTATAGAGGGAAAATAGGAGTAGCATTCTTTAAAGTCTAATCAAACCAGGAGGAAAAAAAACTTACCAGAGGAAATGAAGGTAGTGGTGGTGGTGGTGGAGGATAATCTCCAGATGACGATGAAAAAGAAGTAGGGGAAGTTAACGATGGAGGACCTCCAGAAGGGGATGGAAGAGGTGGTGGTGGAGGAGGGGGAGGTGGTGGTCCTCCAGAGAAAGAGGGTGGGAGAGGAGGAGGAGGAGGAGGAGGTGGCGGTGGCGGTGGCGGTGACACAGGCATCTCTTGTCCACAATCAGAGATCGAATGCTCTATGGGGAAAATCAGTATACATAACTACATGCCCAGGGCCATCTTTCACTTAGGTTATAAGGTGGTTGCTTTGTCTTGCTTTTTACAAACCTTAGATCTCCAAATAAGTAAGCAGATAAGCTATCCTTTACTTCATTCCACATACAAATTGCACACGCAAAAGAAATCCCAGTTAGTTTTTAAGTAAAATATGCATTTAACAATTGTAGCTGTAACACTGATTAACTCAAGAAGGCTTTAAGAAAGGATGTTTTGATTATCTTGTTTGGAAATTGCAGGAATTATAATCTCATACATTAGAGGCCATCAAATAGGGATCATTGGCCAAATACTATATGTTCGTGTATAGCAGAATAGCAATGATGCATTACCTACTCTGTTACATTGACTGACCAATCCTTTATCAACATTGTGGTTGTTCTATAGAGTGAATTTACTGATCTTCAATGCCAATTTTGCTGCCAGAACATGTTCATATTCAACATATATTTATCAATCTATTTTTCTTACATTATAAGAAATTTCTTTCTGAAAGTCAAGTTATATGCTAGATTCCTCATGAAGCAGTCTGTGAACCATCTTCTTCCCAGAAAGAATTTTACTTTTATACATACTTTTTCCAATAATTAACACAAAATAGAATGAATTACAGATTTCTATCCAGACATTCAAAAAAAATATCCCACCCCACCCCACCCCAAAAAAGTGGCATGTGGAGTAATGTGTTTTTTTTAAAAAAACAAATTTTATTGATTTTTTAAAGACAGACAAAACAGGACATAAAAGGCATAAAACCTCCTTTCTAAAAATTACTTATAAGTTTTAACAAGGCAAATAAAACATTATTTTTTAAGGCATAGTTCCGCATTATCACATTTCCATTTAAGCACTTATATATCTTTTCCAAATTTCTCATTATTTCTCCCTTCACTTTTATTCAATTATATTTCTTTCTATCAAGGTTTTATTAATTCTCAATCAAACATAAACACACAAAATAAAAACATAAAACAAGACATAAAAACATAAAACCTCCTTAGTTATCATTTGTACATAACTTTTCCAAATTTCTCATTATTTCTCCCTTTAGTTTTATTCCTCCAAGGTTTTATTAATTCTCAAACATAGCTAACCAAAACACAAAACATAGAACATAAAACTTCTTTTGAAAAGTAGCTTAGCCCTGGGTTACATCTTTTTTTACAGACCTAAATCAAATTCATGCTCACCTTATATACCATTCTTATCTTATTTACCATTCTATATTTTCTATATAACTTCTCCCTTCTTTTCACTCTCTTAATTATATTTTGTTTATTTCATCTTATTTTAAAATCATTATGTTTGTATCTTTTGTCCGTTCTTTTCCCACTATCTATTTATCTCTTCTCTTTAACAGAAAATTTCCCCTGTAATCACTTTTAAAGTGTGATGCCTTTCTATCTTTCCCCTAAATTAACACTTAAAATAATACATAATTTCCATTCTGATTCTGCTTAGTACATTCTACATGTTGCATTTTAAAATAAAAGAATAATAAATTTATAACATAGTTAAATATATAATTTCCATTCTAATTCTAATTCTACTTAATACATTATTTTAAAATAAGAAAATGAAATAGTAAATTTATAATAACATTAAGACAATAACGAATTAAACTATAACTAAACATTATTCATTTTTACACATTCTCTTTAATATTTTATTGAATATTGAGATCTATCATTATTAAACATTTTAATATTTTGTTATATTCCAATGGACTATTTCAAATGCAAATACTACAATACTATCTTATGTACTCTTGCAGAATCTTTCTTTAATTATACTCTATCCTTTATCTCTGAAAAAAATCTGCTTTTTTGCATCTTGTTTCAGACCTTTGTGGCTTTTTTCCCTTTTTCCCTCCCTTTCTTCTCCAGTCTGGTCTTTTTGCCCCCCCCCATCTCCTGACCTCCACCTTTTTAACTTCCCCTCTCTGTTATATTTCTCTTTTCTGTTGCTTTCTAACATTGTACCTTTTTTTCACCTTATTTTTCTTTTTCTTGGTTGTTTTATTAAATCTTAAATTCTCATTTTTCCTTCCTCTCTTCCTATTTTCTTTCTTAATTGAACTTTTTTGTCCATTAAAAATGGCTGCTGCTTCTTCTTCTTCTTCTTCTTCTTCTTCTTCTTCTTCTTCTTCTTCTTCCTCCTCCTCCTCCTCCTCCTCCTCCTCCTCCTCCTCCTCCTCATGTATTTGCTGGTATGTAGAAACCGCCATTTCTAAAAAGTGGAAGACAGCTCCCAAAGAATCCTTGCCTTCTTGTTCTCTTTCTTTTAATTTTTCATATGTGGAGTAATGTTAAAGTAATGACATTTCTAATTAGAAGTTTTGGAAAGAAACTTCTCCCAAGATGTGGGAATAAAGATTCAATATATTCTCCCCATTGTCTGATCCCCTTTTTCAGACTTCCAACATCTTCCTTTACTAAATGTAATTATTCCATTCAATCAAGTAATTTGGGAAAATTAGCAAGTATTTATTTAAATGAAAGATACTGATTAAAACAAATAATATAGTGACACAAATAAAGTCTGCAAAAAACAATCACAGCCCATAGCTTCAGTAGCTTTCATGATTCTGCCATCAAGTCATTCATTCCTCATCGATCTGCTGAACACACATCTCAAAATGAAAATGAAAATGATCACTATGAAACAACAACCAAATGTGGAATGGTGTGTAATGCACCACTAAAAACCCCATTATTTTATAAAACAATTCAAAGAAAGTGAGGCAACTTTATTTGTGGCCATTATGGTACTTTATCATAGTTTTGATTAAAGTTCTTTCATATCTGCTATTAGAAAAAAAAACCATTTAAAATGGAATGATTCCTGATGATGATGTATACATGCAGTTTTTCTGGCAGCAATATAGATTTACCACTGCCTTTTTCTGGGATGATTTTTCAATTTCTCAACCTCTCCATCATCTTTAATATTCCATTACAGTTTTTTTTGTCAATCCTTATTTAGTTCCAAGCCCAAGTATCACTATCAATGACATAAATATGAGGTCAGGTCCAGTTGCGCATGATGACTGTATCCATGAATTTTTATGGGTAAAAGCAGTCTTTGAAATTTTTATTATAAATTACCCCATCTTCTCAGCATCTGAGCTGATTACAAGTAATTTGATTTCCAAGACAAGGGGATAAAAAGGAAACTCATCAGATGACATGAAGGAATAGCCAACACTCCAGGATCAAGATACAGAAGGATCCTGACAGAATTGAATACTGGACCCTTTCTAAAAAACGGATATTCAATGGTGAGAAAAGTAAGATTCTACATTTAGGCAAGGAAAAACCAATGCACAGGTATAGAATAGGTCTCAATAGTGGAAACTGCGAGAGGGATCTTGGAGTCCTAGTGGACACTTAAATATGAGCCGGCATTTTTTGGTGCAGTTGCCAAAAAGTCAATCCATTTCTAAGTTGCATTAACAAAGGGATAGAATTAAGATTACATGAAGTGTTAATGCCATAGCATAATGCCTTGGAAAGACAAAACTTGGGATATGGTATCCAGTTTTGCTGACACTCTAGAAAGAGTGCAGAGAAGAGCAACAATGACGATTAAGGAATTGGAGATTAAAACATAGGAAAAATGATTGTAGGAATTGAGCATGTCTAGTTTAATGAAGAGAAGGATTACAGGTGACATGATAACATAATAATGTTATAATAATAACATTACAATCATTATGATAATGATTGTAGGAATTGAGCATGTCTAATTTAATGAAGAGAAGGATTAGAGGTGACACGTTAACAGTGTTTCATAGCTAAGGGGCTGCCACTCCTTAGGTATTGTCACCTCTGCACCTGAATGCAGAATGGGAACTAAGGGAACTAACTAAGGGATTCTAAGGGAACTAACTAAAAAGAAATTTCCTGATAGTTATAACAATTAATCAGTGGAATGACTTGCCTCCAGAAACTGGGTGGTCCAACACAGAAGGTTTTTAAGAAGAGATGGGAAAACCATTTATCTGAAATGGTATAGGTTTCCTGCTTGAACAGTGGGTTGGACTAGAAGCCCTCCAAGGTCCCTTCCAACTCTATTATTCTGTTAAGTACTTAATTTTGAGGCTAGGTTTCATATTAGTCCCATAAAATTTCATCTACTATGACAGGGGTCGCCAACCTTTTGGACCTCAGGGACTACCAAATTCATAATTTAAAATCTCGTGGACCACTAATATGAATTTTGACTGACAGTGGCTTGCTAACATTGGTGGGAAAGTCGGTCCCATATTCCAGAGCTGCAGTAGTCACAGGGCTGGCCCTTTGGTCATCCCGCAGCAGCTGCTGCTCCATCCGGGTGCACCGGCCTGCCATGGACTGGAGTAGCTGCTCTGGGATGACCAAAGGGCCAGTCCTGTGACTATTGCAGCTCTGGAATATGGTACTGGACTTTCCCACCAATGTCAGCAAGCCATCCCAGGGCAGATATCCCTCTCCACCATTGGTTTACTTTCCAGTTCGAGCTTGCATGGCTCTACTCAAGGTAAGATTTGTGCTCGGCTGAAGGGTAGGGGCCAGCAGGTGGGTGGGCCATGTGGGTGGTGCAGCCTTCTGTTCCTGTGCAGCCTGGATTAATTGCTTTGGGGGGGGAGTGCTTGGGGGAACATTTCTTTGCGGACCACCAAAATTTTCCCACGGACCACCAGTGGTCCCAGGCCCACTGGATAGCAACCACTGTACTATGATACTAACAATCCCATGTTATTCTCTTTGTCACTAAAGCTTTTGAAGATTAAAATTCTTCATATACTGTATTACCATCTCATGTGCTTGGACCTTTTCAAAACCTGCATGCAATTACTGATCTTCTGAATTCCTCAAACACAAAATGAAGTTCACTATTTTGCCATTTTCATCTGGTCTAGAATTTATTAGAATAGAATTTCTACAGTTCATCATAAACCTGTCGCCTGAACTGTATT